CGGTTTTGGCTTCGCGTGATGGTGGCCCGTTTGGCCCCCCCCCCACGGCAGACGCATTCTAACTGAAGGAACACCTGTAAATATGCAGAAACACAGTTAGAATGCGGCGCCAGAATTGGTAAGAAAATGTAAGTTTTGACCGGTATTTTACAAGCGAAATACAGTTAGAATGCCTCCTCCTTTTCTTCTATATTGTTCCTTGCCCTTCCTTTTCTTCTATGTCTTTTTCATTGATCTATATCTGCTGTAGTTTCCGAAACAACAAAAAACTTAAAACCCGGGCGCGGAGGCATTCTAACTGAATGATTTTTTGCCGTGCGCGTGCCGCATTCTAACTGAGGGGGAGGAATATTTGGAATTCGCGGAGGCATTCTAACTTTCATTTTAACGGTATATATATATTTATACAATGTTGTATCAATTAGTCATCCATATTGTATATTCACGTTCTATATGCAATTAATTTCCTATTAAATCTCATTATATTCCAATTCTATCCCTTACCATATAGCACTATATCCTAGTGAACTCATATATATATATATGTAAATATATGTATATATATATAGTATAATATAAATAATATAATACTTAGAATATCACATATATAATAATATACATATAAATAAATAAAGAATATAATGCAATATAAAATGATTTAATATGATGTAATATAAAATTATGTAATAGAAATAGAAGGATGATGATATAATATAATAAAATATATTATAATATAATATAACATAATATAATATAATAAACTCATAAGATATAATTTAATGTAATATAATTTCATACAATATAATATAATATAATATAGTAGAAATAAAACAAATAGATAATATAATAAAACATTGGTATAATATAATATAATAAAATAGAATAGAATAGAATATATACTCACATATATAATCTAATACACTGTAAAATAATATGTAATATAATGTTTAAAATATAATGTAAAAAATATTTTGGTATAATATATATATATTATTTAAATTTTAAGTTAATATAAAATAATATAAAATAATATAAAATAAAGTAAAATAATATAATATAATTGAAATTCACATTTAATATAAACACTATATAAATACACATATTGTTTAAATATAATATAATTACAAATATATATATATATTATTATATAATATGTATGTAAAATATAATATAATGCATGCATATATATATATATGTGTACACACATGATGTTAATGTTGGATCCTGCCAGCCTCCGGCGCCCGAGGCAGAGGGAGGGACTGCACTGGGTTTGTTGCTGATGCACGCAGTGGCTGATGCTCAAACAGAGATGCCTGGTGCGTTGGAAAATTGCAATTTTCAGCAAGGAAAACGAAGAATTTAGCAGGGAAGACGTCAATGGAACATAGGATTTTTAGCAAGGAAAAATTGTTTTATCAAGGATTGAAAGAAACACAGTTTTACGTGCAAAAACTTTTCTGCTATGGTTTAACTTGACTTTAATTTGATGTACATTATATATACAACAAATATATGAACGCATGTGTATATAGTAATGTCATGCATGTATGTTTGTCATGTACCTATAACTTATTTTTGCGTCAGATGCACGGTTTTTTTTGGGCCATTTTGCTCTAATCCATGCCACAAATTGGAAAGCGTCCATATTTGCCCCCTTGCCTGCAGGGTGGTGCCCCAGTTCAATAGCTAAGTTGCTTTAAAAATTCAATAACTATGGTTTATAGGTGATATATCTATAGTTAAAGGGATTATAATCGATTTTTAACTGGGTGCGGCACCACCTGGTGGGGGCTCAGGATCCTTTTCCTCACGAACTGGAGTCAGACCTTTCGACATCTGCCGATGGATCCCCTTCCCGTGCATCAGCGCTGCCCTCCCCAGGCGGTGATCAGATTCGTTGGGCCTCTTAAGAGGCACATGTTTTTCCGGTTAATGAAGATGGCGCCTTAAGGTTGTTGCTGCGGCGACTGGGTAGTGGGATGTCTAAAACAATAGATGCCTTTAGATTGTTTCAGCACGGTTCTGTTTTGTTTGATGATGTTTCCATTTTTCATGGCTCTTTAACAGTGTGAATCCCTCCTTTTGGCCCTGTGATGTTAGATATGTTCCATCCTCTGAAGTGGGATGAACCAAACTTAGGGGCTCAATTCAGAAGAAGTGGGGTTGCAATATCACAAAGATGGACATTGATAGACCCAACAAGAATCGGTGATAATCGGTGAGTGTATATATATATACACATACATATCTCTTTTCTGCATGTTCTGTTCCGTAAATAACCACCAATTCTCCAAGATCTTGGGATCCCTCTGCCCTGCTGTCAGGTCTGTGGCGATGAAATATCCGATAGTGACCTGACAGCGCCAAGCACGATGAAGATGCGATGTGTACCTCAAGATGAACCTGTGGCATGGTTCGAATATGTTTGAATGGTTGCTGTATATATAAGTATTTTTATTTATAGATATAGTATTCTTTGATAGTATTTCGACTATTCCGAATTATTTAATTTAGACTCTATTTGTACTTGTAGATCTTCTACCTGCATAATGCCCATCTATCCACCCATCTATCCAGCTTGTTGGCTGGGAAGATGAGTCGAAACGAAAAGAGAATCCCTGGTCCACCTCGCACATTTTTTTAATCATGTAAGGGACACAATCGCCCCAGAAAGACATGGTTTCAACTTCTTACATCACATATCATATATATATACACACACTATACAGTATGTATATATATATATGGTAACAGGCACCTCTGTGATCCACATTTAAAAGATGTAAAATATCTTGAGTATTTGAAACATGTCTGGGACATTTGAAGCATTTAAAACATTTGAAACGTTTTAAACAAATGAGCCATGCCTGTGACGTTCGAATATTTTAAATATCTCAGACACTTGAAACATGCCTTGGACCTATCAAACATTTTGAATATTTCAATCGTATTGAAATATGCCTGGAACATTTGAAACGTTTCAAATATTTCAAACGTTTGAAACATTTGAAACAGGTCTGAGACATGTAAAACATTTGAACCATTTGTGACATATCTGGGACGTTTGACATATTTGAAACATTTAAAATGTTTAAAAAGTTTGAGACATGCCCTTGACATTTAAAACATTGAAACATGTCAAATATTTGTGGCATATCTGGTACATTTAAAATGTTTAAAACATTTCAAACATGTCTGGGACATTTGAAATATTTAAGATGTTTAAAATGTTTTAAACATTTGAAACATGTCTGAGACATGTAAAACATTTGAAACATTTGTGACGTATCTGAGACATTTGAAATGTTTAAAATATTGAAAATGTTTTAAACGTTTGAGACATGCCTGAGACATTTAAAACATTTGAAACATGTGAGACATATCTGGGAAGTTTAAAATGTTTAAAACATTTCAAACATGTCTGGGACAATTGAAATATTTTAAATATTTAAAATGTTTTAAACATTTGAGGCGTGCCTGAGATATTTACAACATTTGAAACATTTGAGATATCTGGGACATTTACAATGTTTAAAACATTTTAAACATGTCTGAGGCGTTTGAAATATTTGAAACATTTGAAATGATTTAAACACTTGAGACATGCCTGAGACATTTAAAACATTCAAACTATTTCAAACATTTGTGACACATCTGGGACATTTGAAATATTTGGAATGTTTAAAACATGTGAAACATATCTGGGACATTCAAAATGTTTAAAACATTTCAAACATGTCTGGGACATTTGAAATATTTAAAATATTTAAAATGTTTTAAACAGTTGAAACATGCCTGGGACATTGAAACATTGAAACAGTTGAGTCATATCTGGGACATTTGAAATATTTACAATATTTGAACCATTTGTGACATATCTGGGACATTTGAAATATTTAGAATGCTTAAAAAATGAGACATATCTGGGACGCTTAAAATGTTTAAAACATTTCAAACATGTCTGGGACGTTTGAAATATTTGAAATATTTTAAATGTTGTAAACATTTGAGATATTCCTGGGACATTTGAAATATTTCAAATATTCAAACGTTTTAAAGGTTTCAAATATTTTGAATGCTTGAAACGTTGCAAATAGTTTAAACTCTTAGAACGTTTCAGATCAAACCTCTAGATTCCTTTCGAATTTGCTTATATTATATTTTTCAAAAATCTGTTTTTTTTGCTAAAAGAGAGGCCCGCCGGTAGCGTCCAGAGTGTCCCGAGCACCTTTGGCGGGTGCCTCTTTTTTCACCTGTGTTTTCTGACATTTCCAAAACTATGATGAATGTAAAATTTTGTAGCTTTTATCTCTATTTTACACGAACTTATTCCTAATTTTTTTGTTTGTATTTTTTTAAAATATTTTATTATTATAACATTATATTACTATATTATGATAATATTTTATTATTATAGTATTATATTATTTTATTATTTTAAGATTTTATTATTATAGTATTATATTCTTATATTGTTAAATTATTATATTTTTATATTGTTATATTATTATATTTATATATTATTATATTATTATATTGGGTTTATTATGTTGTTGTTAAGTATTATATTTTTATATTTATAAACATATTGTTTTTTTAATATTTTATATTTTTGTACTATTATATTTTTTTTGTACTTTTGTATTATTATATTATATTTTTTGATTTTACGATATTATTTAATTGATTTATCATTATACTTTTATATTCTTAAATTATTTTGTTACTAATTTTTTGACTATATCATTATGTTTTTATAGTATGTTTTTTCACATACTTTTTAAATATTGTTATTAAATTATTTTTATTACTTTTTTTAATTTATTATATTGCTATATGTTTGTAATATATGTTTCATTGTATCATTATTATATTACTATATTTCTATATTTTCATATTATTATATTACTTTTTTTATTATATTATTATATTTCTATATTTCTATATTATTATATTTTTATATTTTGATATCTTGTTAACATGTTTTTTTAATTCTTCTATTTCATATTATCATTTTTCTACTTTATGTTGAACTATTATATTTATATATAGTTCTATTCTTCCATTCTTCTTTTTAATTTTCAAAAATCCAATATTATATTTGTCATTTTATATTATTATATTTTCTTTATGTTTATGTTTATAGTATTATATTCTTAGATATACTTTATATATATATATATACTTAATTTATGTTTCTATATCTTTACTTATTTTTTATTTTATCGTTTTCTAGTATATTATTGTGTTTAATCGCTCTTTTTTCAATTCTGATATTTTATTGTTTTGTGTGAGTATTGTTCAGGTGCCAGGTTAGCACTCATTGCAGTTTTTTCATCTCCATTTCCTGGGGATTGCACAAATTATTCGCTCAACGGCGCCGGGTGCTATGTTAATGAGTTGGTGCCCAATGGGCCCAAAATCCACCTAATCCTTCTTCGCCAGGCCGCACAACGGTACCGGATGCTATGTTAATGAGTCGGTGCCAGAGCTGATTTATGCTATGTTGTTTTTCGTGGGTGTACTTTTTTGAACGAAACCAAATTTCATTTTTCATCACAGAGGTGCCTGACATATCTAAGACATAGGCGTTGTATCCACAATGTAGATGGCTAAGATGTCTTGATGTTTTGAACCTGAGACTTGTCATGTTGGCTCGCAGATCACATTGAACCCGTTCACTTAAGTTTGAGTGATGAACGCAGGCGTGCAAGCCCAACCATGAGCCAAGAGAATCGTGTAAGGACATATAGGAAAGCAAACAACACAGACACTTAATTGACTTCTTTTCCTGTGACGCGATGGACGGCGAAGGAGGAGGATACATTAATACCAATGTGAATTTGAAGACGGTGAAAGAGCACATGCGGCTGATTTTGACTCACCTGTTCCTGTTGTGGACACTCCGCTCCCTGGTCAGTAGCAGAGCTGACTACAACAATCCTGACAGAACTGTTCTGGCATTCGAAAATTGGACCTTTTTGTGGAGCAATGAGTCGTTGATCAATTTTCTACGAAGGCGCCCGTTCATACGTATTGAGATGGCCATGTCAGACCAGACCAGAAGAGCGCATTACTTGCAGGTGTGGTTTTCTTTTGTAGATATTTGGGGGCTCAACAGCACTTGTAGGACACTAGCTAGAGACTAGGACCATGCAGCCTCTTCAGCCTGCTGCTCAACATATCGACATCATGCTGCCGCATAGGTTTGCTGAAGAAATCCTTGCAGTGTGGCAGCTGCCACCTCTTCGTTTGTCGCCGGTAGAGTGCAGGTCTTGCTCCGCTATGATGCTAGCTGCTCAGACACTGCGACATTCCAGCCGCGACTGGCTACGAGTCCTAGCCGAGGAAGCGACCTTCGATCTCAAGCATTCCGAAAGCAAAGCGGCTCTGCTGACTGTTCCATACCTTCATCTGCCTGCTACGGTGCTTGGTGACATCTACAAGTTCATTGCCTGCGATGACCTCGACATCCTGGAGCATTTGCGTGAAGCTGCTTTGCGCCTTTCTGTCCCAAGGTCAATTGCCGTTGTGGAGGGCAACACCTTTACTTTTCGTTACCGTCAGACCAGAGACGCAGTGATCGAGAAAGCTCGACTTGAAAGTGTGCTACACAACAAGATTAGAAGCTGGATCTCATCCACCAGCACCATCAAGAGAAATTTGATCCATTCTAGTCAGATCCACATCCTAAAGCGCCGAGCGGTTGGGCTGATGGACATTAGCTTATAGACAGCTATAGCCTTTGACTGCGTGTTGCGTGCAGAGCAACACAAAACGCGCTTATGATGTCTTTGTACAGCTTGATGGGGCCGCAGCAATGTGGAAGCCAAATCAATCTTGGGGAGCAAAATTGCTTGCTTTCGCTGTAGGAAATTGAATCGTTCTAGTTGCAATCAGAAAGGGAGAAAGTAAATTTTAAACACAAAAATTCTCTGCCGGATGCAGGTACGGTGGATGCTGGTTTTGAAGGTGTTGAAAGCCATGGCCAAAGAGGCGCCCGGCAAAGGCGGCTGGGGTGCTTACGGCCTCTTGGCGGGCTTAACTTTGTCACTGTGTGCAAACTGAATGAAGAGCTGTATATTTTGCTATGTCACCATGTCGTACGCTTCAGAGACTAGAACCAAGCTTTGAATTACTAGCTGGCTGAACAAGTGTTGGGGTTGGTTCGAAATCATTTGCGTGACAATGTCCACTACTTTCCTTGAATATAGAGACAATGACCAATCCCTCAATGAAGCCAACGTGTTTCTTGTCTTTTGCAGCAGCGTCCCATAGAGATGATGCCCAATCACCAGCTGGAAGCGCAATGGAGATTACGTGAAACCAAAGCGTTTGCTTGCCCACCTGCCCAGCACGCCGAGCACAGCTTAGATGCAAGTGGCTAGTTGGTTGTCTTGTTCGGCTCCACTTCCTTGCTAGCCTCTAGCGCTTGCCTTCTAGGGCTGATGACCAATGACTGGCGCCCAGCACGATTGAGCCTGTGTGCAACCAAAGCTGCTGTAATGCTTGGTCGTTGTTGGCCCACCTGCCCAGCACAGCTTAGATGCAAGTGGCTAGTTGGTACTTCCTTGCTAGCCTATAGCGCTTGCCTACTAGGGCTGATGACCAATGACTGGCTCCCAGCACGATTGTGTGTGCAACCAAAGATGCTGTAATGCTTGGTCGTTGTTGGCCCACCCGCCCAGCACAGCTTAGATGCAAGTGGCTAGTTGGTTGTTCTGTTTTGGCTCCACTTCCTTCCTAGCCTATAGCGCTTGCCTACTAGGGCTGAGGACCAATGACTGGCTCCCACCACGATTAAGCCTGTGTGCAACCGAAGCTGCTGCTTCCGAATAAGTAGGGCGGCGTGAGGCTTGCTCCTTGTAGATGCAAGAAGTTGGATTTGTTGTTCAGCTTCACGTGCGTGCTCGCCTAAGGCGTTGTAAAGCTTTAAAACAGCAGAACAGCTATTCCCCTTGAACTTATAGTGAGAAACCTGGTTGCCAATCATATGTATGACATCTTCCATGTTTGATGATGCAGTTTCAAAAGATTTTTTTTTAAATAGATTGCTTGAATATCAACTTAAAGTGTGGGTCATAGAGGTACCTGTTGGCATATATATATAAATGATTATTTATATATATATAATGTACACGCTGTAATTCAGCCAGGTGCATGGTCCGTATCTGACAATATTGGTTTATTTCTTATGCCGCTGCCACGGCATGGCCCTGCTGGCCCTGCTGGCCCTACTGAGGTGATTCCTGAATTTGCTCCAGCGATGCCAAAGATTATGGGCCAGAGTGGCTTGGGCTGTGAGACTTCATTTGGGGATGTACCCGAAATGGTGTCATCCAAACGTGGCTGGCTGGAAAATCCCTGGACTAAATGGTGTGTTGTTTTTTTAATGGGGAAAATCATCTATAAATGGGAAAAACACAGAAAACATCTATAAATGGGGTATAGATGATTTTGACAGCTAGAAACCTCCATTGAGTGAAGGGGATTTTCCAGCCAGTCACGTTTGATGACACCAGGGGGTAAATGGGATATAACCGATCAGCGGTGATATCTGGGTTCGTCCTAGAATGGTGGTTCAACCAGTTTAACCTTTCAGGAAAAAAGGGGGTAGAATGATGAAATATGGGAACCATTCTCTAAACCTAGTCATTTCTGGCTTTGTGCAGAATAGGGTATAACAAACTGTTGCTATTTTAGGAGTCTTTGGACAAACCCGCTTGGATGTTCGGTGACTTTCTCAATTTCCCCAAACGAGAATGGTGGTTTTCTGGCCGCCCAGAAGCTAAGAAGCACACATTGGGGGAATTTGTCGTGTAAAATGGAGGAGATAGCCAACAATATTGGAGTTTCACAAGGTTTCAACAAGTTTCATGGGGATATGTAACCAGAAACATGACCACGAAATGCCAGCACCATTTTAATTTTAATCCATGGTCCATGAACAATGGTTTTTTCAGTGCAGGAAGGAAAACACATTTTTTCAGAGCCAGGGCTTTCCGAAACATCCATTTACTTCTAGTGGGATGTACCCTCAGGGTTCAGATTGTGTGTCTTCTTTTTTTCAAGAAACACTTCCGTATCTCCGAGAAGAATGCTTTCACGGATTGTTTTGACCTGTCCAATGTTAGCCATTGCCGGATGTCAAATTCCCATATGTTTTTCCGATTGTACGATTTTCCCCAGTTAAATCGCCATAAAATCACCATAAATCTCCATATTTTTGATGCTTATCTTGGAAGTCCTTGGAATCATGGGACGTTTTCCTTTATGGAGTACACCCAAGATATGCTGCTCATGTGGGATTTACAGTACCCATCACCATATTCTTGGATCGGTATCGTTGGTCCCAGGTATTTGTGCCTTCAACTTCCCCAAAACCACAGTCGACCGCATGGTGGCCGCTGCCAAAGTGAGCGCTGCTGAAGCTCTCGACGAGGGCCGCTACTTTTCCACCGATGACGTGTTGTCTGTTACCCGGTGCTGTCTGTTAGGTGTGGAGCATGTGGGGATTCAATGGGTAATTCATCCAGGTATGTATTGGATATGATGCGATATCGGATATCCCCCTCTTCTATATATACACTATACACTATACATATATATATATATGTATATATATATATGATATGGTTATCCAGTGATTATCCTCAACTTGCAGGATCGTTCCAGTGATTGTAACTGGCGACCCCTGGTTGATGTATATGGGACAATCCCATGGGAGACTTGCCGGGAATATCCAGTTAATTTCGGTGGGATGATGCTCCCAGAATGGGGCTATCCTCCTATCCTCCAGGATGTTATATAAGGGACATATACATGATAAACTATGAGTATAGCAGTTAACATGGGGATTTCACTGGGGCATGTTTTTTTGGGGTATGGGTTGGTCCAGAAAAGGGGTGGTACCCTTTCAAGGCAGTTAGCAGTTTGCTGGCTGAAGTTGGATGTTTCCAGAGCCTCGAACTGTTGAGTTTCTACTGGAGGCTGCATTTTTCGATATACCCCAATTGGAGAACTGAAACTGATGCCTTTGATATCCAACTTTAGGAGAATATTGGTTCAAAGGAAATCTTACAAAGGACTTCACAAAAAACCCTTGGTTAGATACCCTATATTTTGTCTGCATCATATACCAGTATTCTTGGGTTGTTGGTTTTCTCCCGCTTCTTTTAAGGGTGAAATCCATATGGTCGAAAATCCACCCAGAGATAGAGCTGGTCATCACAGAGGCACAGCTCTGGAAAGCGATGGTGAAGCTACGATGCCGTCAACTGGAGATTCCGGAAGACAGTGCCTTAGTGGATCTTAGGGGTGTGTGTTTTTTTTTGCCGAAAAATGGCTACCTGAATCAATCTGAATGGCATGTTCAGAGGTTGTGGCGATGGTTTAATTGTTCGCAGCAGGTTGTTGTCGGATAGATCGGCGACCAGTTGATTTCCACAGGGGAATTGAGCAAGGCGAATCATCCCACGCATAATTTACCGGTTGGGGAAGCCTTGCAATTCACCCAGAATCTGATGGTATAAAGTATTTTTTCGGGATACCACACTATTCTTCCCGATCTGGGACATCCATTTATTAGATTTGATCGTATGAAATTTCATATGGAGATTGATACAGAACCAGGAAGCCATGAAGACATTGACTCTGTTTTGACCAAGGGGCGGATCCTTTTCCAATCATCAAATTGGCTTGATATCTTTTTTGCAAATGTCATCCCAGAGTCCTAAAAACTGATGTTACTTCAGCCTCTCAAAAAAATCACAGAGGGAAATCATGGCAAATCACTTTTTTTTCTGTGATTTGTTATCCCTGGTCCAGGATCTGTCCAGGATCGGTGATGATTTGCCCACTGCGGTTGGATCGATGAATGTGGATTTGTGGGTGGCAAGATATCTACATTGGTTTATACACAGTGTATTTGGTGTTATATCTGTTTTATATGGTTTCATATGTTTTTTTTTTAAGATATGGTTTTAATGTTTCAACTATGTGCGACCCCTGCAGTACCAGAAGAATCCTACGCAGCATGGACCCACCCTATAGAGACAACGGCAACTTCTCACCAATGCTTGCATTAGTAGACATATGGAGGTTTCCTAGAATAGGGGTACTCCCAAATAATCCACTTTAATAGGATTTTCCATTATAAACCATAGTGGGGTACCCCCATTTTAGGAACTCCCCATATTTCTACATGTGACATGTTGAATTGATGTCTCCGGCGTTCTGAGGCGAAGACATCACCACATCACAGCGCGCCTGCAACTTTCGTGGCCGCTGCGAGCCAAAGTTGGGTCATGGATACTGTGCCTTGACGGAGCGTGGAACTGAGTGATTTCATGAGATTATGGTTACACTAGCCAACAAGACACACACTACACGAATTGATGTGTCTTTCAAGAATGTGTCAATACTCCAAAACAGCAATTTCAATCTAATTAGACATAGTAAATACTCCAAATTTCAATCCATTTCATAGTGGAACTATGTCTAATTCAAGTTTCAGCAGGAAAGGCATGGCTCTCCCAAACACCCAGTTGCCAGCCTCAAAAAATTCCCGGTGATTCTAAGTTGGTGTGAGGACATGTTGAGACATTTTTGAGGAGCCATACATGGGATTATTCCTTGTATAATGATGTATAGTGGATGATCAAGGGATCTCAATGGGATTATACCAATGGGAGTATAATATTCAAGTATAATTGAAGAAAACATCACTATTTGATCATTGATCATGAGTGACACTAGAATTTAAACAGCACCCTTTCTACATAGGATATTATCACACCCCCCGGGAATCCCTATGAAAACCAACCAGTCTCATGTACAATAGGCCGCGCAGCTTGCCTATCAGGACACTGAGGTCTTCAAGTATCGTCCAGTAGTCAGTAGTCTATAACTTCGCAATGGAAAAGTTCCAATTTGCGCCAATTTTAATCCGATGTTTTTCCTCTTCAATAAACTATTATTTACCATTACTACGTCAGATTATCAGAGGGTAAGCAATGCTCCCCAGCGCAGCCGCATGTTGGGCATCATGGTTATCTGGCTCAACAGACCCGCATGACCCTAGGCGGCAACGGTGTCACGCAAGTGTGGACAGAAACTTCTTGGCATTATGACCCTTTTTCTGCGGGGCGTCCGTGAACTGTCGGATTTCGCGACTCCCGTTCTGCGGGTATCATTTTCGTGTAGGCTTTTTGGATTGTAGAGGTGATTGTTATTGGTTTGGTTAACTTGTTCGTTTACATTTTGTTAGCAGAATTTTTGGTCTGTCCCAACCATGGTAATGCCACATGTGGTTGGATCTGTGAGTGGTTGAGGATTGGGGTGAGGATTCGTGGAAAACTGATCTCCCATCGCTGAGGAGATGAGGGTGAAAGATATCCTAGCAGCAGACATTTCAACCATTGCCTTACAGCTTCTTGGCGAGGATCGGGAGACCTGAAATGGGATGGATCAATTTAAAGCATTGTCAAAACATGGCCATCTCTTCAATATGGAGATGGGTTAAAATCCATTATTAGCATATGGGGGAATCTCCATCCATCAACCAGCTATTTTGGGGTAGGGTACCATGGTTTTGACCCCAAAAACCATATGGAAACTGCGGTAAAGAAAGGCCCCTGGAAGCAGCTGTCAAAGTCCGGATGAAACATCTAGCACGAGGGGATGACGCGGGGTCTCTCCGCCATTGAAGAATCTGACACTTGGATGATCATCCCGTGTCATATTCTTAGCATTCATGGTACAAAAAAACATGAGCCTGAAGTATTGGACCCTGGACCCCCCCAATGGTATGGAGCCCCCCCCGCTCCCCCCCAAACCTCCCGTTTGCACACTCAGCCTTCCATTAGCACGCTACTTACAGCATTTTGAAAGCACAGCCTCCCATTTACAATTTATACTTTATTTGCAGGATTTGAGAGCCACAACCTCGTCACTGGACCCTGTCTAGCTGTATATTTCTAACATATCAATCTAAATCTAGCAGAATCTAGCGCATACTACCCCAAACCTGCTTATGTACTGCCTATAGCGTACCTCACACATGGTTTACCACTCCCTGTATGCCTTTATGTTACATATTCGCTTCCTGTAGACTACATACTCAAAGAGCACATATTGATAATAATCTATATACTATATGACTATATGCTTGGATACAGTATGTACCTACAAGTACATTATACATATACAATCATATACATTGATTTCTATACATACACAAACCACCAACTGACATTGCATACCTATGTGTAGTATATACATTGCCTCATCACTACCTATATACTCCTTACCCCCAACATATACCACCTACACGTGTTTCATAGCGTGCCTATATACGACTCATTGCATAGCCCATATACTATTTACTATATTATACATCCATATATACTCCCTGTAAACTCCCTAATGCTCTCCATATATTCCCTATAAACTGTAGGACTGTTGTTGGGCCCCCCCCCAGGCCACCAGGCCACCAGGGAACCATCCAGCTCATCATGCACATCTCAGGTTGAGGGCTGATTTACAGCACCTTGGCCACGGCGCCAGGCATAAAAAGCGATGGCCAGCTTGATGTTGCTTACGAATGTTCACTAGGCACCAGAATAAGGGTGTATGAAAATTGAATTCACCATCGATCATATATCATCCTAGATCCAGGGATCCAGGGATCAACTTTTTGGGCCGGTTGAATCCCCATGATATGTCGCCAATGATGAATGGAGTAGACATTGGTTGAATGTTGTTTGGAATCAAAAAACCCAACCGAAGTTCATTTTTTTTTTTGGGGGGGGAAGCCTAGCTATGAGCCCATTCTTTGTGGTTGGTGACTTGATTTTTCTTCGGCTGTTGGGATGTCAAACTGTCCGTGTGGAATGCCGCCTTTCTGGGTGATCTGTGCTTCGAAAATATTCGGATGGGATGATGAGATGATCCCAACTGACTGATGTTTCGGATGGGTTGCTCATCCACATTTGGTTTTTCCGATGTGGGTATGGGTCAAAATTAGGTACCCCAATAATTGGATGGTTAATACTAAACTAGACTAACATCTGTGGTCCTCTAGGTCTTCCATTTTGACCCACATCCATGTGTTTTGAGAAGTTCCTGAGGAAATTTACCCCTGCTACCGTACCGCTTTATGGCCGATGGCTCTAGAAGAAGCAAAAGGAAGGCGCTGCGCAGCGCCAACGGGCCAACAACCACTGTGTGTGAGGATGTCTTCTGGGAGTAGGGGGTTACTCAGAGGTTTCATATATATATATGGGATCTATCATGGATTTCATATATATATATGGGATCTATCATGGATTTCATATATATATATATGGGATCTATCATGGATTTCATATATATATATATATGGGATCTATCATGGATTTCTTATATATATATGGGATCTATCATGGATTTCATACATATATATATATGGGATCTATCATGGATTTCATATATATATATATATGGGATCGAATCTATCATGGATTTCATATATATATATATATGGGATCTATCATGGATTTCATATATATATATATATGGGTTCTATCATGGATTTCATATATATATATATATGGGATCTATCATGGATTTCATATATATATATATGGGATCTATCATGGATTATATATATATGGGATCTATCATGGATTTCATATATATATATATGGGATCTATCATGGATTTCATATATATATATATATATGGGATCTATCATGGATTTCATATATATATATATGGGATCTATCATGGATTTCATATATATATATATGGGATCTATCATGGATTTCTTATATATATATATATGGGATCTATCATGGATTTCATACATATATATATATATGGGATCTATCATGGATTTCATATATATATATGGGATCGAATCTATCATGGATTTCATATATATATATATATATATGGGATCGAATCTATCATGGATTTCATATATATATATGGGTTCTATCATGGATTTCATATATATATATATGGGATCTATCATGGATTTCATATATATATATATATATGGGATCTATCATGGATTTCATATATATATATATGGGATCTATCATGGATTTCATATATATATATATGGGATCTATCATGGATTTCATATATATATGGGATCTATCATGGATTTCATATATATATATATGGGATCTATCATGGATTTCATATATATATATATGGGATCTATCATGGATTTCATATATATATATATATATGGGATCTATCATGGATTTCATATATATATATGGGATCTATCATGGATTTCATATATATATATATATGGGATCTATCATGGATTTCTTGGTATCATGGGGAGTTGGATTTTCATGAAATCCGAACGGGTTATCCCATTCACTATCTAGCAGAAGAGAATGAGACAAGAGTTTTTGATGCCGATCAAGTCTAGATTTTGAAGAGATGGATAGAATCTTGCAATCAATTGGTAGGTATGTAATTATGTATATATATATACATATTATGCTAGGTAGACTTTATGATTGCATTTCGTGAATTACAACTATATTTCAAAACGAATCGGCTGCAATGGCCCAAAAGTTCGATTGTTCCGCTTGGGGATGGTCACATGCACCAGGCCATCGTTAGGGCTTAGGGAAATCCCATAGACATATCCCCAATGGGAAATCCCTATGAAATTGATGCTTAATAAGCGGGTTAATCATCACTTTATGACACTTAATTATATATTTCAGACACATCCAAGGTACCAAAAAAAAAACATATCTCCGTGAGCATGTCGAGGGATGGTTTCATCCCAATCTTTTCGGATGATCGAAAGGACCTTAAAACCTTTAGATCTGGATCCCTTGTATCAACACTTTGGATACTATGGGATTGGATCTCTTTGGATAGTATGAGATTTTTTAAAATGTTTTTTTACTCACCTTGGTTGATTCGGGGGTACCATATGGTACCATCCCCCCGAAAAACGTGAGTTCATCTGCTACTAAGATGCTACCTCCCTTATGATGAACAGCCCAGGGGTTATTTGTCCGGGATTGACATGACATCGTCGATTCCTCATCCAAAACTTCACGGCAGGCTTCAAAGTGGTGCCTGTCTTCGATGCTTTAGCTTTGTGATCTCCCATTTGCTTCAGAGCTGGTTTCGAAAGGTTGGAAAGAGGGTCATGAAATATAAAGCTAAGAAAACTAGCATAGAAACTTGTGATCTCCCTTTAGGTCATGAAACTTTGCCAGAAAACTAGCATAGATATGGGTTGCATCGCACGTTTTCTAAAGGGGATTTATCATGGAACTAACTGGGCCATGGTTTCCATAGCTATGTTAAATCACCAGAAGGTCTTTGGAAAGCTCTGTAGGATAGAACATATAAGTGATATATATATATATATATGTATGTATGTATATATAATTATATATATATATCCATGGATTCGGGTTCGGGAATGCTTCACGGCAGGATCCCATCAACCCAGGAATTCCTTTCATCTCAATTTTTCGGTGATGGCAACATTGCCATATTTGTTGACCAGAAACCCGTTTACACCCAGTTTTTCCACGCAATGAACCAATATTGGTGATGACCCATCCTATTCCATGAGCAACGATACTGGGTGGTCTCCCAATTCTTTTCCGTTGGTGATAGCAGTGTTTTCTGAGGACCTTTGTAATCAGTTCCTGGAATTTCGCGTGGTCCCTCGGATGGCGAGTCAAGGAGATACTGAGAGAGTTTCCCACATGATTCTCGGAGGGTTTAAGAAATAAACAAGGGGCAAGGAACATTAAAATCCCCGAGAATCATTGGGTATATTGTTTTATTCTGGAACCACATGGAATCCACATTATATAAGTAATGAACTATAAAACTTTGGAATATTCTGGAGATACGAGCCACTTTTCCATGGGTTGATGATTGCCATGTTTTTCTGCCAAGCCGAGAGGTAGTTTGCATTAGACCAAATGACAATGCTGCAGTTTGGTGCATTCATCTAGTTTAGTCGGATTTCACAAATCATATACTATCATGGATGTTGCCACTGTCGGCTCGGGTTCTTCTCAGTAGCAGCAGTTATTGAGTCAGTGGTGATAGACCAGGGGACAAGTTGATGAGACAAACCAGCTGGTTCAGAGATGGGGTTTGCGTGAATGGAGACCCCCGAGCACTTCTTAGGATTTCGAGTTTCAATCCAAACCTTCAAATCACAATCCCACCATGCATCCCGTGATTCAAGTTCACTTCCCATCCGTTGAATTTCTAGTGTTCCGGCTTCTTGGCTGAGGCTTACACCAGCGTTTTGACCCTGCCCCAAATGGTTTTAGGATCAGACCTTCATCGTGGCTTGAAATCCCCTTTTTTTTGGTGATCATGTCGGCCGATGCCTCAATTGTCTGTATCTCTAAATTAAAACCGTTGTTGGTTCATACAATTTCGTACTCTTATTTGTATTTATAAATGTTATTATATCATATTATATCATATCTTCATATCCCAACGCATCCTTAAAACCCCGCAGGTTCAACAAATTTCAACAAGGACCCGACCTTATTTGAACCAGCGCTGTAGGCATGCAGCAGACTTCGGCTTTGAACCGTTCTGCTTTGATCATGCTGCACTTGCTCCTCAGCCAGTGTCGGTACGGTTGTGCGCTTCGGGTTGAACTGGGCCGGTTGATTTTAGAAGCTCCTAGGTTGTACCGTTGCTGCTTTTTTTTGATTTTTCAGTAATTTTATGTGTAATTTTGGCATTGCTGATTCTCGTGATCAGGGATTCACTCTTTGATATTCTTTGGGTGATCGTTTTCATCGTCCAGGGTTGCCATCCTGTGGTCCCATCATTGGTCGGGGTCCCAAAAAAGCATTGAACCAAAAAGCTGGGAGACTTTTCGTGATGTTTAACAAATGTCAGGATTTTCCGTCCCAGTAATCTGGGACCTCCAGATTTTGTTGGGGAAGTTGGGCAGTTTAGTGATCCCAAAGTTTGGGACATAGACTGACAGATAGAGTATACATCAGTATACAACACCCACGAGGTTTCTGCTGAAGTTCCAAGATCCAGTTTTCTGGTACCATTCTGAAGATCACTTGGGCTTTGGATATTGACTCTGGAATGAAAATGGCAATGAGCGTATCCCCAAGGGCCCCAAGGTTTTGTCCTCTGATCCGATGTAATCCTCATCATCCTCACCCTTGGTTCCCAGCCGTCACCGAGGTTCCAATCGTTTGCACCATGGTGCCACGCCCAAAGCAGGATGGCTTCATGGTCTACGCGCAGGGTCCAGAGGACTCGATGCAATACCTAGCTGAATACCTCCATGGTGCCACTGCCCCAGCTTCTGCAGGGTGATGGCCATGGCGAAGCCATCAGAAGTGGATGATTTTTCATACACTGGAAGCAGACTTGGAACCAAGAACAATGGATGACCAAGAGTTGATGGCTGCCATAAGTATAGATATGTATAGCTCATGTATTGTTTTCCCAATGACATAATGTCCGGATGGTTGACTAATTTTGAATCATTTGAACAGCAAACAAACAACCAGATCAACCAGCGCTGTCGCCATAGCCAGAAGCCCCAGAGGCTGGATCTCAGCGCAGAAAAATGGATCAGCCGCTGCAGAGGTGTTTATTTTTGAAGATTGGTGATCCCCAAGAGGCCCGAAAGATTTGTCATGCTGTGGTCATTGTTATCGGTATCCTTAGTTTATCAGAGAAAGATTGTTTTGAAACAATCAATGCCATGCAAAAAAAAACATGCTGATGATGATGCTCCAAGATTTTCCCATAGTCTCAAATTTCTGAAGGAGTTTCCATCCCATTATTCATAAGTTTGTCATCATTTTCCCTTTGGCAGACTTGCTATTCTATGGTGTAAGTTGGAGTACTGTAAATGGCATACACACACACGTATACACACACACATACTCTTATACATATACAAAGACACATACATCCTACGTATACACATATACATACAATACATTACAAGATACACATAAACATGAATATGCGCATAGACATGCACATACACTACCCATACACATTCATACATACATACACACACACATGTATATATATATATATATATAGAGATATGTGCAACATATTGAGAAAGAACACACTTTGATGGCAATTTTTCCCGATGGTCGATGGATACACAGGTGCTTTGGGCCATGCTGCCATCCCATCATTGGCTCTGGCCGTGGCATTGAGCCGCAGTCGCAGGCGGCATGGGCGGCTTCCATGCCACAAACGTGAAGACACATTGGTGGATTTAAGGATGTTTCAAGATAAAAATATGGGTTTTACCGCCATAAATGGAGACACAAGGATATTTCACCATTAAAACAACTGGGAGATTTGCCATCAAACATTGGGACTTGATCAAGAAACATGTGGATATAATGGGGTTATTTTACCAACAATATCCTATATAATCCCTTCACCCCAATAGTAAATACCTCCCTAGACCTCCTGGTTTGGTACTGGATGTATTTTAGATGATCACGGGAGGGGATTATTTATAATATTGCATGATCAATACGTTGACTTGATATTATACTGGCAATATATGTATGTACTGTATATAATATATATATAAAGGTATACACTGACTACAACAGTTAGCTATGCCATATGAGGTAAGGACTGGGAAGCAAGTGGGGTCTACGACCCTTGTTTCCGAAAACGGACCTCTGGGGCTGTTGGATCCGGATTCATCCAAAACTGATCGGGAGCAACATCATTTGCCAGGCCTTGAAATTGAAACATGTTGAAACCCCGAAATCCCATAGTAAATCATGAGTAAACACTCATCTTTACTATTTGTTCTTGGCAATAAATCAGCGAAGTTTTTTGTACCCCCCATTTTGAGACCAATGAATTTTAGGAGAGCTTGCATCACAGGCACAACCGTCGTGCTGACAAGAGGACCTTGGGTGCGGTGCAGTTAGGCCTCAAAAATGAATAGATCCAATACGGAATTTGTTTCTCAGGGTTTACCCTCTGGTAATTTGTTACATAGCTATTGAAAATGGCCATAGAAATAGTGGATTTTCCCATTAGAAATGGTGATTTTCCATAGTTATGTTGGTTTACCAAAGGGTACCTGATATTTGGGTGAAGGCTTCACGGTGACAGTATTACCAACTTGGCGTGAGGATTGAGTTGTCATTAGGAAGAAAAGTTTTAGTTGAATTGGTGATGATTGACCCGGCGGTCGATGTGGACTTTTTGATCTCTTGGGACCTTCGCCGTGAGTAGTTGTCTTTTAAAAGTTTTTCATTTTCCCACAAAAACCATCTACACTCCAGTAAACTAACATAGCTATGTTTTAGCCCAGTTAGTTCGATGATAATTTTCCATTAAAAATGGCAGTTTTTGCATAGCCAGGTTGTTTACTGGAGGCTAAAAGCGGCTTAAATCACTCCTTGCCTTGGCTTGATCTCCCAAACGGCGGCGGTCAATGGTCGGTTGTCGACAGGATTCAGTGCTGCGCCGTTGCAGAGAAGGAGAAGACCACGACTGAGAGGTCCGTCAGCCAAGTTCATGTGGCTTCATATGTTTCAAAATCCAATGGCTTAGAAAATGGTTTTCACTTTAAAACTGCAATTTTGGGGGGTGTCCCCTGCAAAGATGCCATTTTGGGGGGGAAATGATGGCACTTTGGCACAGTCATGTGATGATTTTCTCAGCCAGAAACCTCCATCGGATGTTCCAGGCAGCCGCCCAATTGCCGGAGGGGGACTCTAATCGCTGGATGGTTGGTTTTCAAGCTTTTTGAGGTTCCAATGGTTCCATTCCCATGGGAAGTTGATTCATTGATGGCTGCAACCACAAAAAAAACCTGCTGTGGGTCCAGCATGTCCAGCCTCAGGTGTGATGAACTGAAGCTGATCATCTTATGCACTTGTGATTCGAGTCCTTTCAACAACGAGTTTAGTACCGAACATGGCGAGCCAATCCCTTTTTTCCAGGTTTACCCGCAATTTTGAGATAAGTTTCGAGATAAGTTAGCAGGAGCTCCCACCTCTACTTGATGCTTAAGAAAGTGGTTTCTTGGAAGGACATACCCATTTAAATCCCTTTGCTTCCAGGTATCTTCAGTTCTTACTTACTCTTTTTTTCCTGTAGGAACAAGATTAGAAACATCTCAGATTTTGATTGGGAGAAATCCTGAATTGTCCCGTGAATATCAATCGAAGCATCGCACTGGATGCCTCTGCGTAGGCCCGTGTATCCATTCTCCGCCATCGTGGGACAGTCGGTGCGCAGAAGGGCAGGGGGGAGAGGTCAGGTCCGGATCGTGGGGTCTGAATATAGGTAATTTACATAATATATATGGGTATGGATCAATACCTATTAATAGCATTTTTAGGGGGATGAACATCCATTTACCAGCTATTTTGATGTTCACCAGGGGTACAAGGTTTTGACAAACTGCCATATAATTATATATATTATATAACGGTATATATATAATATATTATGTAAATTGTTATTATATATAATGTACATTATGATATATATATATACACATACACATATACACATATGTACTGTACATTTAATATGGTTGTACAGTATATCAGGAATATTGATTATGGGATTAATAACCATACCATACTTACCATGTTTTGACAATGTCACACATTGGCTTCCATTGGGTATCCCCCAGTTTCAGGGAAACTCGCATATTACTAATATCAGTCATTTGCGGGTACAAATTAATCAGTACTATATCAGTACTATGAGCAATATACTGTTTAAGTCTCTTCAATGAAGGTTTGTTGGAAACACCTGCTAAAGAGATGATAGTTCTGCTGGTCACTAGTGTGTGAAGGCTATGTCCTATCTGCAAGAAATGCTCACCTCATCAACAAATCCTGTCGCACCGGTGCCCGAAAGACTGGTGGAAGAAATCCTGCACCAGTTGGTAGACTATTATAGACTACCCTCTGGTAAACATACAAAAAACTATGGAAAATCACAATTTTTAATGGGCAATCTCACTATAAATTGCCATTTTCAATAGCTTTTTGTATGTTTACCAGATGGTAGTCTATAATAGTCTAAAATCCCATGATTTACTGCGGTTTCCAGCAATTACCAATCGTCGAAAGATGTCGGAATATGCGGCCCATCTGGAAGTCCTCCCTGGCAGGAAATGAAGCTGTCCTTGATCCTGAACGTCATCGATCCCAAGGCACGAGACGAGCCGATAGGGTTGGTTTGCCCCTTTTTTTGAGGGAATGGCTAGAAAATAAGCAACACATAGTGGTGATATAATGGAGGTGTAATGGTGATGTAAGGGACTAAATTAAACGGGATATGAATGGAATATACCTTTTTGGTAATTGAACAGCTTGTTATGGAAAATCGCCATCTTTGATAGGTAAATCATCTATAAATCTACTGTACAAATTTTCCCATTTTTCATAGCTATGTTAAATTACTGAGGGTTATACTGTTGGATGAAATGGAGCAACCCATTTTTGTTGATCTAGTTTTTTCTTGATCCAGAGGGGTGAATATTGCCTCGCTGCATCGTGATAGATGTCTTTAGTTGATGTTTATTGTTTATCTTCCCAGGGCTTACATATACCATCAATCTTTAACTTGTAGATATCTTTACCAGTCTTTACCTGTGTACCACATTTTGTTTGGGTGACTTTAGGTACAATTGTATGTAAAAATCCAATAGAATTTAAGCATATTTAAGCCATGTATGGATGGAAACCACCTTTTTTTGTAGATGATTGGAAGCTTTTTTTTGACGAATTGCCATGGGGTTTATGTCACCACTCCTGAAGCAAGCTTGGCACAGCCTGGCCATGACCAGATTGGTGGAGTCATGATCATGGGCGATCGTGGGACTGGCAAGACCACAACTATCCGAGGTGCCAAGCTGCTAACATTGTTTGACTGGGCACACACTGTTTGCACATATTGGCATATGCGTAGGAAGAGTGGGCAAGGGGCACGTGCACGTTGCTACAAGTGTCCGACATATGCGCCTCTGAGTTTCTAGATACCATCTGCAACGTCAAATAAACAACATGGCTATGTGACCAACAATCATACAGATTGGACTAAATGTCAAATAAGTACATCCATCTCTTTTGCATGTGTATATATATACCCTCTGGTTATTTAACATAGCCATGGTATAGATGGCCCATAGAAATAGATGGTTTACCTATTAATAGCATGGGTGGATCTTCCCATGGCGAACTGTTAGTCATAACCAGAGGGTATATATATATACACATGTGTATTATGATGTGGTAAACCCAACAACAAACAATCCCCACTTTCACCAGAAAGAATTGCTGGAGGTCTCACCATCCCAAATGGTAGATTTATGGCATTGGCTTTGCCACACATAGAAACCAACAGCCATGCGGTAAACCCAGTAACAGTGTAATAATCATATCTGATTTTACCACTTTTCTGCAGTACTATCAGTTATCAGGTTTGACCCAGGTCATGTGCATAAGTTCAGAATCACAGTTTTCAACATGCAATTTATCTTTAAACGCTTCATTTTCCGTGGCTACATAAAATTACCAGAGGGTAGAGGTCGTTTTTTCACATCCATAGTTAACTGGTTGGTGGTTTGGAACATTTTTTGTTTTCCATAATATATTGGGAATAATAATCCCAACTGACTTTCATATTTTTCAGAGGGATTGAAATTACCAACCAGACCATGCCTACAACATGCTACAACCCATTATGGATAGGTTCAGCCACGAATTGGGGACGAGTCCGATCACAAGTACTTTCGCTATGTTACCAGAGCATACCCATAGATGGAGGTTTCCTGAAATGGGGTACCCCCAGTTATCCATTTATAGATGGTTTTTTCCATTACAATCCAACCATTTTGGGGATCCCCTGTTTATGGAAATCCCCAGATGTATTTCCGGTTCAAATGCCATTTTATAGTTCGGGGGTTTCCCAGTCATCTTTGATTACCAGATGGTGATTACCAGATGGTGTAACCAGTCAAACTCCAATTTTTTCCCCATTATCACCATTTTTCCTAGTTAAATCACCATATTCTTGGAACTCCCAAGATTCATGCTGCAAAAACCATGTGGATCTAAACACCTCCCACGACAAGGAAATATCAAAAACCTTAACGTCTCCATGGTCCAGTCAATTTCCCACGATATCCACACAGGATGGTGCCCCCCCCGCGGTTATGTTTGTTGGTTTATAACCGCATCTAAATATATATATATATCATTCTTTGCGTATCATACACCAACATTGTTATAACATAGTTATGTTCACCAACTTAGCTAACGAACTGGGGTAGAAACCAAGTATGACATTAGCTAACTATGGGCGTAGCTAAGTTATAACATAGTTATGTTCACCAACTATGGTGAAATCGTGCTGGTGTATCCCAATTATAGCCCCATTGTTATTATAGTTACAACCCCATAGTGACAGTGATGATTATTGTTATTATTATAGCTATAGTTATGTTCACCAACTTAGCCAACTATGCTTATGTGACACTATGGTTATTATTGTTATTACTGTCACATATTATAGTTATTATTATTACAATATGATTATAACCATATTATTGTCACAATATAGCAATGTTATTGTTATTATAGTAGCATACACTATAGTTATAACCCATATCCTGCATACTACTATTATGGTATCATACACTATAGTTCTTATAGTAATTCCTGTATACCACAATTCTATAACTAATCCCAACTGACGAACTCATATTTTTCAGAGGGGTAGGTCAACCACCAACCAGTTACCCTCTGGTTATTTAACATAGCCATGTAAAATCACCATTTTAAAGAACGGTAAACCATCTATTTCTATGGGTCATCTATACCATGGCTATGTTAAATAACCAGAGGGTACTATTACATTGTTATAAGCCCATCCTGCATGATCTCCACCCTGTTTTTTCGCCGCCAGCCCTGGTGGATCTCCTGCCCGAGATCGCCTGTGTGTCCGATGACCCCTACAACTCCTCACCGGAGGAGGAGCGAATCTCTGTCCATTTGGGTTGGGTCCATGAGGGCCCCATGGGATACATGGGGATTTCACTAGGAAAATAGGGATTCAACATGATTTCAGCATGAAACTTGGGGATGAAACTTGATTTAAGTATCAGAAATGGTGGCTTTACCATCCAGAAATTGAGATTTAACTGGAAAAATCGTGTGCGTTTCTGGAAATGGTGCACAGTCTATCCCCAATAAATGCTTATTCAATGGCAAAAAGATGGTAAAGCATACATACATCCAGACATCCATCCGTATGTACGTACGTCATACATCAATACATACGTATAAACTTCAGAGAATGCAGAAACATCATGGCCGCAAACCTTCGCCGTCGATGTGGCTGCAGAGTCCCTCCTGGGCAAGAACCAAAACTTATGGTACCCCCAAGGTGGAGGGTAGGTTGATGAATATTATGTACCCGGAAAGAACCTACCTTGGTAAAGGAGGTATTTGTTGGGTTCATATCGTGTGAGGGGGCTTTGTATTGATTTGGGGATTGGATTCATCATTAATCACATTTGGTCATTATGAGATTGTAATAACACACTCGGTCAAAATCATAGTCAATGGTAATCATGTTATAATACATATATATATTTACAATTATGTATATATATATAATAGGATTATGTCCCAATTTCACCATGGTTTCATAAGGTTTTTTCATATGCTGAGCCACCTTTTCGGGCCCCATCCCTTGATGGAAAGCCAGGAGGAAGTCATGAGCCAAGAGGTGCGAGATCGGAAGGCACGGCTCGAGGGATTCCTTGAATAACATAGCCTTATAACACCAGAATCCCTCAATCGGAAGCCAAATTCAGGATTGATAGGATTGATTAACAATGTAGCAATTTAAACAACATGTAGCCATGAAGAACAATCATTAAGTTGGGAGGATTATGATTGCCATTCAAAATGCACGTTTTTAACATTGAATGCGATTTGTAATGGATATATATATATGGATATAATGTGGATACAACTGGAACTTTTCATGGGAAATAGATGGAAGACATAGTACCTGGCCCTCTTGGGGCTGAAAAAACAACCTTTTGAAGGGACACCTATCAACCACCTAGTACAATGTAGCCATGGATATGATGGCGACGCAACGTGATGCATGCTAGCAAAGTCTGCATTCAACACGGGTGGAAGCAAACAAACTATAAAAAAGTAAGTTTGCAATCATCCAGTAGAATCTTCCGCAACAGTTGTCAATCCATGAACACCAATCATAGCCTCTACTTTCAACGAAGACGACAAGCACCAGATCTCAATTCAAGATCAGTGATGATATATATTATATATATTATATGCAGGCATCTGGGGAAGACTTGCCTTTGAAGTACAAGAAGGTGCCCATGTCTGAAGCTCAATGGATGAATCTCCTGGTGGCGCTTGCCCATCGACAGCTCTGGATTTATTCATATTTAATCATATTTATTCTTATCATGCTGTGAGAAGGTGATCTGGGAAGAGATGGCTCTTGTTTTGTGTTTCATACCTGGTTGGTTGGGTATAGTTGCATTTTATAGTACAGAAAGAGCCCCAAGCCAACAGTGTTGCTCATATACGTGCATATAGAGTATTGAACAAACTATATAAGATATATAATGTTGAGAATTCGTTGCATCAATCAATATCCCTAGTTAGTGGGGATTACTAGAATCTCTACATTTCGTAAACGTTGATAGCATCTTAGAATTTTACCCTCTGATAATTTAACATAGCTATGGAAAGTCACCATTTTTAATGGGAAAATCCACTATAAATGGCCATTTTCAATAGCTATGTTAGTTTACCAGAGGGTAGACTCCCAGTTTTGTATGCCAAAAACCCTGCCAGGTACACAACCAGATATTAGGACAATCCACCAGGTCAAGTTTTCGTTTCTGAGGGGAAAACGACTGGAAATCAACAACGGAGCACGGTTGCATTTTAGCAACCAACGCGAAGCACTTCATTTTTCCCGCCAAAAAAAACACAAACAACACATGGAAATGGAATGATGATGATGATTATTATTATTACTATATATCATTATATGTTGTTATTATATATTCTTGTATATATATATATATTATGATGATGATGATGATGATCATGATCCACGGTGAGCTCCCAATGACGATGGCGATCCACCGTTCCGTGCCACTTAGGATCGATCTGCCTCTGGGTGCCACAGAGGACCGCGTCTGTGCCTTGCCGCCTTGGTGGTCGTGCCTGCAGCGGAGGTTTGGGATGCTAAGCACCAAACATGCTAAGCACAACACATGGGATTTGCAATCAGAAAATATATGGTATTTGAACCACAAGAAAAATAGGATGTTCACAACCAAAACATATTTTTATTCACAGTTCTAACCACCAACAAGGATATGGTGGGTTGTTTATATATATATATATATGTATATATAATTATGTATATACAATTGGATTGAATAATTCTGAATAATAATATTCACAGTTCACCATTCACCATAAATCAATATATAATACTGGTGACTAATATGTGATAATATATGGAATATTCCATAAATCAATAATCAAATATACATATATATCATTTATTGGAATAATATTCCCTATTACATATTGGATTTGATTGGTTTCAAGCATTGGTTCCATCTCTACCTACCTGTGGAATCCCCGACATTTTCTGGAGATGATACCATCAACCAGCCTTAAATGAGATTCTAAACATCAAACATACAGTTATGGCCATTTATTAGTTATAACTGGTTATAAATGGGATTATACATTCTATAAATGGGGTTATAAGTACTTATAACTGGTAAAGGGCCATAACTGTAGGGCATATCACCAGCAAAACTACAATTTTAATCATTGAAAACGATTCACAAGGGTGATTTATGGTGATTTTACCAATTCTCTTGGGGTGGATGAAACCACCAAATAGCCAAATAGCATAGCATCATGTTTTCATTCCAATCAGATTCTAGCTCATAGTTTTTTTTTTCCCCCACTGTTTGTTTGTTGGTGGTGCTCCGCATGTTTAACAACCAATCGGTAAATCATGCCAGTGGGCAAACCTTCTATTTCTCTCAAGAGGACATCCGGGATGGACATCGATTGGTTCTTGAGGATATTGCATAATATGTATATATATATATATATTTATTGTATATGTTTGTATACAGTATACATCCTAAATAATCCTTAGGACAGGGCTATGTCCAATATTTCCTTTGATTAGTATCGTCAGTAGTCATTATAACCCCCTTTGGTTTATTTTATCACGAAAAACAATATATTTTTCCTTTTTAGTTGCTTGTTCACAAGCTTTGTTGCTTGAACTTTGAGCCTCCATTCTTGTTGAAACCCGATTTTTGTGTGGCAAGAAACTCTATTTTCGTTGCTTAGCACACGGTACCCATTGAGGTGGTACCATTGACATCGAGAAGGCCCTGACCCAGGGTAAGAAGGCTGGTCACCGGTCGGTTTTGGCGATATGTGGAGATATACATTCTCGAAGTACACTCGGTGATGAGAGGATACACATCCAAAAACAGAATAATATGCTATAGATATTAAAGTTCATACAGGATTTCACAGGTATCATACAGGTATCACACATAAATGATTACCGTTATCTTACGGTTATATTGCGGTTATATTACTTACATACTGTACATACACACTGTAGAAGTTGGTGAAATTTCCTGGACCTGAGTTGGGTCTCAGAGACGCAGCCAGAAAGACTTGGGAGCTTGAAAAAGATGAGAAATCAAGAAAAAGGTAAAAGATATACCAAAGAATTATAATAGGCTAGATCTTACTCAACATGGTGGTTCTGAATCTATATATCATATCATATCATATCATATCATATCATATCACCTGGTTGGTGGTTTCAAACATTTTTTATTTTCCATAATATATGGGATAATCCTTCCCATTGACTAATATTTTTCAAGGAGGTTAAAACCATCAACCAGTCACTGATTTTACTTGGCAGCGCCTTGGCAGCGACTTGGCAGCGAAACCCGCCCTGGGCGGACAGCCTCAGGCCTTTGAACCCGGACTGCTCGCGAAAGCGAACCGCGGGATTTTGTACGTTGATGAGGTGGCGAAGCGCTGGTGACGCAACGGTTGCGTGGTGAATTTTGTTTGGGACTGGACTTTTTCCATTGAAAAAAAACAATCTTTTCGCAACGGGATGGGGCCCCCATAATGGAGGTTTCAATGGGAAAATCATATATATATATATATACAGACACAACCCAAGTTTTGTGTGTGTATATTGTTCTGCCCCATTATTCATGGGGGTACCCAAGTGACTCGGAAAGGAACAACCAAGCAAACCTTGCCTGCACTGAACTGACTTGTTGTCAACTGCACACATTTGACCAAATGTGTCCGGAAACGATTCCATGTTGCCGACAAAAAATCTACTTAAGACATCCCAAATGTGGTCCACCATGCTAGTCCCTTCTTGTTTTTTGGAATTCTACTTCCTCTTGGTAGAACAAACTCAAATTTTGTTGGCGGATATTTCTCGTTGGGTAAAACCGAAACCCTCTAGTTTCGTTGCTAATGCTTTTTCGCAAGATTGTTTTGTCTATAGCACCTCCCAAGATCACAAGAAATAAAGGTTCGGACTTGCGAAAATCCATCTTTTTTTTGGATTGCTATTCAATGTGGTCAACCCACTGTTCACCGGATATAGATGTGGTACTTGCATGATGAGGTTAATCCATGTTAATCCAATGTTCACTAATTAATTGGTTTTTCTCCCTCCAAACAAGATAAATCAAGCAACCGTGTTTCAATCATTGTAGGATTGGATTTTTATGGATTTTTCTCAAATCTATCCTGTGGCAATGCAAAACACTTCTGGAACAGTTCTGGAATTCATAGAGATTCATCTACTTTGATGGGCCATGGTGTCCATAGCTCTGTTAAATTGCCGGAGAGTATGGGGTATTAATTCATATTACATAATTCACTTTTTTGGAGAGTAAATCCAATCTTTCCCCCATGTTTGGTGATCGAGTCCCAGCAACTCCCATTACATTCCCATACTCAATCACCATTTGAGTCCCTTAAGTCCGTATTTTGATGGTACCCCGTATGATAGTTGGGTTTAACAAATCGGCATCATACCTCCATTATATACCTATCATGTCCCCATTGTATCACATTTCACCAATTAGATCAGTATAATTCAGTATATATATACATTACTATAGATAGCACGTTTTGGGCGGTAAATTTCCATCTTTCCTCATTTTTGGCGATGAAGTACCATTAAATCCAATTCAATTTCATTCTCAATTCCCATATATATCCATGAATAATCCCATTCAGATCCTTTTCAAATACCATGAAATAAAGATGTACCGAATATATCCCAATTTCCTATTATAAACCACACACAAGTCTCATAAAATACAGATGTACCGAAGGGTGTTTTTTCACGCCAGGTGAACCTTCTGGACGACCACCTGGTGGATGTCTTGTTGGACTCCGCAGCTGGTGGGTGGAACACCGTGGAACGTGAGGTGCGCAAAGGGGAAGGGTTGGTTGATGTGATGTATGGGGATTTGAAGGGGATTTGAGTGGGATTTTGAATGGGATTTGACTGAAGATACTGAAGATGATTGGGATTTGAGTGGGATTTTTTGTGGGATTTAATGGTTCATATGATTTGTAGCTGGTTGGTGGTTTCTTGTGGTTTCACACATTTTTTGAATGAACCCATTTCAACCCTGGATAACCCTGATGCCCGACTGAGCAAGATTTTTTCAGGGGGGTTGAAACCACCGACCAGATAGGAATTCAATGGAAATTCAACACCAATCACGCGGGAAAGATGGAGATTTACCAATCATTGGTATTTAATACGATTTTTCATGGGTGGAACTTGCAATATCAGGATTATTTTTGGGATATCTCATCAACATTCATCAACGATATTGGGCGTGTTCGAAAAAATGGGTTATGCCCCAATCTTCAGACAAACCTCAACGATTCGAATGGCTTCATTTGCTGGGACGGTTTTTGTTCCCCGCGTGCTTCCTGTTTTGATCAAACACATCATACACTATTTGGAGGTTTACTAAAATGGGGGTACATCATCCATTTTAATAGGATTGTCCATAAACCATCCAGCTATTGGGGTACCAGCATTTTAGGAAGCCTCAGCTGGATGTCGATTCGCCAAAGTGAGGGTGGACTGTCCGACACTGTCCGACAGGGTCATTTGGATTCCAGAGATGTACACGATTGTGTATACTATTGTATACATGTGCATACGTATATAATCACATATGCATATTTCTCAAGGGGGAACATTATGAAAACATGTGGAATCCCAAATTGTGCTCTTGTGCACGGTAAATCCACAATTTAGTACAACATGGTTAAATCAAGTTACGTCCCCATGTTTCATGGTTAAATCATGTACTAAATCTTCATGCTTGTTGACCTAAAGATTGTTGTTCAGATTCTGTTTTTTCGCCTAAAGATCGAAAAAAAGGTTTCCCGAATCAGGTTTCCCCTGTGTGGTAGGTCATCCCCAAGTAAAATCAGCTGCCAGGGCATCAGCATTCGCCACCCTGCCAAGTTCATCCTGGTGGGCAGCGGCCGGGGGCCCCCAGGGCCCCAGAGTCCCGTCCTGGCTCCTCCCGGTGAAACATATGGTGAACTATAGGGCGGAAACGGTAGCGATGATGTTGATGGGTTTAGCCTCTGGTCATCTGAGAGTTTGCGAACACGAGTTTTTGGTAGAGAAATCATTGAAATCATCTAGACAAAGGGGCACTTTTCCATAGCTATGTTGGATTACCAGAGGGTACACACCGTATTACCGTGTGTGTCTTTTGTTCTTCCGGGTTTGTCCAAGGATGCCCCAAATCAACTGATAAATCATTGTCTTCCTGAGGATAATAAGTTGGAGTATATGCGCACAGATTTGCTGGTCATGTTGGCAAGCCCAAAGCAGACATTTTGGTTTAACTGGGTTACTACCCATATACGTATGTTCGCATGTGTATATAATCACATACACAGTATCATACACGTATGTACAGTAGAATTATATATTATATATAGAGATACTGATATACTCATGTATCCATAATCTATAATTCATCTCATGTATCATTCCATAATCCACACAACAACCATAGTTATAACATGTTATACTTATGGTATATTAGAATATAGTTCATATTATAGTAATAAGATATTATAAGCAATAGTTCATAAACCTTATGGACAGTACATATCTCGCTCATTTCCCTTCTCGACATCTCAGGCAACCCGGAGGAAGGCGAGCTTCGTCCCCAGCTGTTGGATCGTTTCGGCATGCACGCACTCATCAGGCAACAGGGCGGACAGGGCGGACAGGGCAGGGCGGACAGGAGAAGTGATATACCCTCTGGTAATTTAACGTAGCTATTGAAAATGGCCATTTATAGCTGATTTACCCATTAATAATGGTGATTTTCCATGGCTTTGTTAGTTTACCAGAGGGTAGATATGAGGCTTTCCAAAGTCATGGGGATACCCCAATAGCTCGATGGTTTATGCTGGAAAATCCCCATCTATAAATGGATGAGGACTGGGGGTACCCCCATGACTTAGGAGACCTCGTCATATAAGTGATGAACTGATGCTGAAACGGGGATAAAGGGAGAAACAATGAAACAATAGCATAGCAAGTTTGTTGACAACCTTCTCAGGGTCACCATTTGGAAATTTGGGTAGCCATGAAAAAGTGGGACTTCATCATCATTTTAGCGGTGATTTCAGCCACCAGAAATGGTGATTTTGCCACCATCATTCGGATTAATTAACATGATTAACTGTAATAATGAAAGAAACAGACATACATGCTGTATTTTCACATTATCAACCATGCTTGATCAAAGAAGATCAAGTTCGTTTTTTTTTTTTTTTCGAGGTGCCATGGCATGTAAAAAAACACCTTGCTAAATGGAGGAGATCAGATCTTTAGGTGGTGCACCAGGTGGTGCCAGTGATGAGTCGACTATAGTAACGTTCAAAGCTGCAGACCCGAAAGGCCGCAGATTTCATCATTTTCTTGTGATCTAATGAATCAACCATAATCAACCCATGAATCAACCATGAATCAACCATAATCAACCATAATCAACCAGGGTATTTCCAGTGGCGCTCTGAAAAAGAATACGCTCATCTGGTGGGGATCGGAAACCAACACGTGGATAAGCAAGAAATTTTGAAGTGGAGGCACTTAAACAAAAGAAGATAAACAAGGAGATACATCAATCCCAACAGATTGACCTATGATTTAGTATGATTTTTATGTGCTGACCTATGATGCTTGGTTTCTTGCTCACTCCGTGGATGAAACAGTGAGGTGGTCATCCCGGATCAGGGGGCCATTGCATTGGGGCCACGGAAGCGTGGCGCCTATGTGACCGTTTCTGTTGAGAAACACAACCGCAAATGATGAAAAATATGACCACATCGTCAACAGCCCCAACTAGTAAACTTGATCAAACACCATTAAAATCCATGAAAAAGACCTCAAAAAACTGATTTATTCTGAATGATCGGCTTTAGCACCTGACTATATCGGCTTTTTTTTCGGCTGATATCCAAAAGTTGGATCCAGGACGGAGCGTGACCCCGAGCTACGCGTGAAGATTGTGGAGAGCACCCGAGACTTTGCGGATGACCCCGTGGTGCCGGGACCTGGGAGGGGACAGGCGAACACATGGCAACAATTTTTTTTTGGGGGTATAAGGTATTGCACGGCAGCAAGGGAAGAGACCCTTTACAGCATGCAAATGAGCAAAAACAAATGCTCTCATGTTCAGGTATCATTGTAGTTGGATATATATAATATATAATATTATATATATATGTATGTATAGTATCATATATAGAGATATATTGAAATCATGATTCCATCACAAAGATGATTAAGCATGAAGTATGTGAGATGCCACAACACAATCAGACCTGGGACAGTTTTGGCTTTTCGGCAAGTGAAAGACATTTTTCGGGTGTTGGGAGAAGCCTCATTGATGATGACCAAGACCTATTGATCTCCATTCTCATTGTTGCAGGTCTATGGTCAAAGCATCTGGTGAAGTGTTGGAGAACGTGTAAAAGCATCCATGTTTCATGCATGGGGGATATTCTCCATCTAAGGTTGATGATATCCCAAGTTGTGTTCGCTGCGCTAATTAAATAAACATGGTATAGACTGTTTTTTGGTAATTTAACAGAAAAACACAATTTTCTGTCCTCCCATTTTTTACCATGGATTCGGCCAACTCCCAAAGCTGACCCTCCAACGATACATGGTCAAGAGATGTTAAGAGCTTGTGGTTAAGAAGCCCTTAGTAAACCCTCATTATTGGGTGGTACTGTCTCCCTTCTATCTCCCCTGTGGTTAGTTTTATAGCCCCAAAACTGTGGTAGGTCAACTTGCCCCAGTGACGGGCTGTGACAGGCAAATCATCCCAATCTCCTCGTTGCTTCCCCGAACCCATTGCGTTGCCAGGGTTTCAGAGAGAAGTTCCTGGAAGACAACCAGGAGTTTGCCACGCAGATCCTAGAGGTGAAATCGAGCTTGAACGTTTTTGTGGTTGTGGATGGGTAGTTTCATACTTTAAATATTTCTAAATGAGAACCAGTTGAAGAAAAATAGATGAGCAAATCTGAATATTCATAGATGTCTGATGATGTATGGGTAGTTTTGATCTTTTGCGCCAAATTTTGAGATGAATGGGGTAAACAAGTAAATACAGTCTATGAATATTACGGTACCCATTGTTTCCCTTTGTTTCGTGGCCATAAATTGAGGGCCTTTGCATGCCTTTGCATATCGGGGCCATCTCTCAAGAGGATCAAGTGGGTGTGGCTGTACTGCCAAGTATGCGTCATCTTGAGGAATCTGATCCATTTTATTATCCATCTTCATGGATATATGATGATATATGGGTCAACCATTGAGCCCTGGCCAGCTTCGCAAGAGGGAGGAGCCCTCATTTACTCCTAAGGCTACATCACTCATGAGTCCAAATTGGCACAAGTGACCCCTGGAAGAACTGTCATTAGCTGAACCACTAGTGACTTTCATGGGATTCATGGGTGTTTGGTCTAGCTGTGTCTAGCTGCCTAGCTATAGCAGGTCATCAACGGCCATCCATGCATCTGCCCTGTAAAAAAGTGGTCATGGCTTCGGTTTCCTGTTCCATCCGGAAAAATCCGCATCATCACTGGGCTGTGGAGGCACAGAACAGGTTGAAGGAGGTGGGCGAGCGTGTGGGCGAGGGGTGAAAGAGAGGTTTGGGCAAAAAAGATGGATGGTGTTGGATCGGTTGGATGATTTCGGAAAAAAATGGGTTATTTCTTTTCCGATGAGTTTGATCATGTTCGACGATTTTCATATATTTTCATATACTTCTCTGGGAACATCCCGTTCGTTGGAACAGCTATTTCTGGTTGAGTCTTCGATTCCCCAAGGTTGACGCCGAATCAGTGCCAAATCTGCGGCTGGGTATGACTAAGAAGTTCTATACCCTTGCTGGAGGTATGGGTCTCTTCAGTGATTTTTTTCTTGATCATATACCCAAGTTCGTCATATCCAGATAGAAAATGATAGAAATACAAACCACAATTTAGCAGAAAATTTACGTTACTTTCCTGTTTGTGAGATGTGAACGCCAAGCTAGCAACGCATCGTGTGATCAAACTTACAAGCTGTGCGCAAATTTATGTATTTCGGTAGTTTGAAAAGGGATAGCCATCCGACATTTTATGTGGGACCTGCGTATTACACCGTAAGATCCGTAAGACTCCTACTTGTTGGCACTTTGACAACTAGTTTCGAAAAACCAAGATTCTCTGTGAATGTTACCTCTGGACATGGCAACCAGATGGTGATACTTGCATTTTATGATAGGTTATGGATTGGTCGTATCTATGTCCAAACATACACCGTCAGACTGCGTTGGAGACATTACTGCTGAGCTTTGGTTCCTGAAAGGGCCCCAGATTTTTTCCTGGGCTAACTCGCTGGTGGATTTTCCAACCACGGAAATTGACTACCGGAGGGTAGACTAACCATAGATATCCGTAGAAAAAGAATCTTGGAAATCCCATGATATAAACCATCTTATTATTATTTTTCATTCACACGCATTGAGTCGGGACGACTGTGCGGACTTGCAAGATGAAGCCATCGATCCATTCAGCAACCGTATGTGTACAGACTTTACAGCGGTTGATAATCAGGAAGGAAAGATGACAAAAATGCAGTTTCACTCCGATGTGCCAGCGCCTGGGCCCACGAACGGGCGTTGGGATCGAAGGTTTGCCACTGTACAGATTTCGTGCCAGAGCGTTGCAGGCGAAGCCTGAGGCTTTGAAAGGCTGATCGCACCAATGCTTCGCAAAGGCCGGCAAGGTATTCCTTTGCCGCTGCAGTTCTGAAGCACCCTTTGGTGCGATCGAAACCAGCTAGGACAGCCGTGGGTCTCGTCAAACCGGGCTTTCTACACTCGTGCAGATACTTCGCCAGTTTGGGCAATCCTAAGCCTCTCAGGATGGTCGGTTTCACCGACATTGCTCCATAGCGCCACTGCTCGATGCGCACCAAATGAGCCATCGGAGCACGCATGATCAAAAGGCGGTGGATCGTGGTGCGCCAGATCGAAGCGAACTCTTCATTGTCCGGCAACGCTGGATGCTCCATAATGCTGCCACCTCCAGCTAATGAGATCAATACCTCCAAAAGCAAGCTGTGTAGCATCAGCCCTGAACCTGTTCCAAGCTGGCAGAGTTCGCGCATCGACAAACCAATGAGTCCCCATGCATGCTGACAGGAACGTAAAGGACGGGGGCCTTTACCTCGCAGCTCTTCGCACATAATATGCCGAGCTGCCGTCCATGTCTCGCATGGTGGCCCAGTCATGCCCAGAGCAAAAGCATGGCCACGTGCTAGATCCACAGCATGGTTGAAGCTTGCTCCTTCCAAAAGGTTACCCAACTTGGTGTCAATGGCTGTATCCATGGAAAGGGATACCACATGAAACTCCGGCAGCAAGAGAGGTGCAAGGGTTTCGATCCAATGATGGCAATCAAAGGCTCGCCGTCTCCCAGAAAACATGTGCAGTACAAACAGTGTAGGCTTCTCGTGGTAGCCCAAAACAACTGGAACTGCCGCTGCATCAGGCCATGTCAATACTGGGGGAGCAACTGGTCGTAGGAGTTGTGCTTGATCGCAATACCCACTTGGAAAGGGCTCAAGGGACACCTTCTGACGAGAGTCAGTGGTCACAGGAGGCGGATCCAACATGGGAGCATCTGGTTCACGTGCACGTGCAAGTTTATCAAAGGCCGTCAAAAGCTCATCCATCTCAAAGAGCTTGGCCACCTCAAAGAAGGCATTGTCCATACAGATCTGGAAGTCAGGATCTTCAGTGCATTCCACCAAGTCAGGGAGGATCGTCTGTCCCCACAACAGAAAGGCCCAAGTAGCCAGGTGAGTCAAGCCTGCATCAGCGTCTGCAAGATCATCCAAAGCCGTGAGCCACTGGTGCATCAAATGATCCTCACATAGATCGGCAAGATTTGTGTTCTGCCTCCAACATAAGGTTGTTTCCGTGCACTTGTCATATACAATTTGTTGGAAATCATCTGGCAAAGTGTCAGGATAGCCGCATTGGCGCCATTGCTGCATCAGCTGAGCTCTGCGGGCTTGTTGCTGACATTGCCATTGGGTTGGCATCACATCTGGCATTGGCCCTTCAACAGCACTGGCCGGTAGGCGCGAAATGCCACGCGCAAAATCTGGAATGGCACAGCGTGCAGGGGCATCAAGCGGCTGAAAGTAGCGCTGCAAAACGTAATAGCATCCATCTGCATGTCGACGACTCCAACGTAAGTGCTGTTGAAGGCGCTGAACAGTCCAGAAGCAACGATTGCAAGCGCGACACGTAGTGTCATAGACATAGCGTCTCTCAGCGGAGATGATCTGGTGCTGACGCCATCGATGTGCTTGGAGTCCCTGAACAGAACTGAAACCGCGGCCACACAACGTGCATGCAAATGCCGAATTGGAGGCTAAAAGAGGTTCCTCAGGTACCTGATCAAAAACCACACCTTGTAGTCGGCATGCTTCATAGATCTGACGGGTCTTCTGCTTCAGGTCAAAGGCAAGCTGATCTTGCTTGACAGCTCGTCGGACAAGTCTCCGCACCAAGGATGGACCATCATGTCGATGGTCATGCAACCATTGAAACAAATCCGCAGTCGTGTCGACTGATGTCTGAGCAATGCCAGTTGGATCATGAAGCCGAAGCCATGTAATTGCATGTCGAAGGGCAAGGCACCAATGCGAGCCTCCATCTGATGCATCTTCAGCCGTAACACAGGTAATAAGGTCTTGCGGGGCATTCTGAACCATCTTGAAGGCGTACAACAAACGATGTTTGGCCAATCGAACAGAAAGCGCTGGCATTAGAGCCAATGGGCCCGAAGGTCATCATCAGACTTTCGACCATCATTCCAGAATCCATCTGCAACAATACGACGCTGCCATTGAGTAATGACATGAGCAAGCTTCGTGTACATGCGATGGTTGAGCAGTGGCCAAGTTCCCGATCCATAGAACACAATGGAGAGTACAAGGGACTCAAGCAACTGTAAGCGCACTGCAGGAGCGATCTTCTTGTTGTTGAAAATGGCTCGTGACATTTGCCGAAAGGCCGCCGAAGCTTTGCCAATACGCCCAGTCAGCTCGTTGTGCAAGGACATGGACTGGCTGAAGATCGTGCCTAAATGCTGGTATTGACCGACAACATGCAATGAAGAGCCATCCGGCAACGCAAGTTGCCCAGCATGTTCCACGAAGCGTCGATGCCTACAAGCAACAGCATCGGGTCCATGGTATTGGCAGACCAATTCAGTCTTGCCTGCTTGCATGTTCAATTGCAGGCCATAGGAAGCCATGATGCGGCGCACTTCAGTCAGAACAGCAATAATTTGTGCATCCAAATCAGCAGCCCGTACCACTGGTATTGGAATCGCCAAATCATCGACCCAGGTGATCAATGGAGAGGAAATAGGCAATTGCACAGCAGCCGCATTCATGGGGCCACACTGGCGAAGAAACGGCAAAATGTCATTCAAGATGTTCAGCATGGTAATGTTGTAGGCAATATCTGCCAATGGACTGCCAGGCCGGGAACCCCGGTGCGTTCGATGGCAGTCATACTGGCCATCAACAACATAGTGAAGTCATGAGCATCACGAACGGCTCGTTGGAGCGCAAAATTGGGCATGTCAGCAAACCGGGCACAATGCGGTGCAATGTCACGACACAGCTGCGCCACATCAAAGTCGGCTTGAGACAAAACTTCACAGAGACGAGGCGGTAATGTGGAACCACCAAACGCATGCTCCCTGATCATGTTGTGGAATGCCGCCTTGACATCAAAGAAAAGCACTCCAAAGGACATCTGCGCTCGAGTGGCAAGGCCACAGAAAGTGCGCAACAAATGGGTCGCAAAACTGGCCTGCTGACCATGAAAGCCTCCCATCTGAGCGGGCACTTTCATGTTCGTTGTCCAACCAATGAGCATTTGGCGCAAGAGCGCGTGGTAGATTTTACCACATGTGGTCAAAAGCATGATGCCACGCATGGCATCTGCTCTGAGGATTGAGGCTTTCTTTGGTATCACATGCATCTTTCCTCCTTTCCACTGAAGAGGTTCAGCACCTTGCACATAGGCCTTCAGTATCAATTGATGCAACGCATCAGAAGCTGGCAGCGCACAAGTGCGGAGAGTTTCAGCAGTGACATGGTCCAGGCCTGGTGCCTTTCCCCGTTTGGCCTTGCAGCATATACGCTCGATGTCAATCCGCGATGGGAGGTCGGCAATGGGGATGACCAGCGGGGCATCGGCCAGGGCTTCTTGTTGTGCACGATGACAATCAAGCAAAAGGTGGGAGTATGGTGTGACTTCACCAGCTTCCAAGCCATCAAAATGCTGCACAATGTCCGTTGTAGCTGGCCCTACACAACGCAAGTTGTTGGTGCGCTTGGCCGCAGCTTTCGGTAGCAGAGGTTTCAGAGTCTTCCATAAATTGGGCAGCGATTCATCTGAATGGCACTGCGCAAAGTTCTGGTAGTACTCATTGTCATCTTGACGGACACGTTGTGCAACAGTAGCACATAGTCGTTGATGGCATCGGAGGTGCCATGCAAGATCAAAGTGCCCATGTTTCATCCAAGAGCCAGAATCAGGAAGAGATGAGGAAGCAGGTGCAGTACGCCAGCTGTCAAAGATGCAACGCAGTGTCATGATCCGAAGGGTATGCCGGATCTGTCGCACCCGTTTCCAATGATACGCCTTGGATTGAATCAACTCCCACGTGGCGTCTTGCAGATGTCGCTTCCGCGGAATATTCTTGCGTCGTGGTTGACATTGTTGCAACCAACGGTGAATATGCACGGCATGTGAATGTACATCCACCGACCATGGAACAGCAGGCGGGGCGGTCACTGTCAGTTCATGGCCATGAGGTTGAGTCAAACGTGGTCGCGGAGCTCGTGCACTTTGCCAGAAAGAAATTGGGACATCTGCAGCAACCACATAGTGATCTGGGCGATGCAACGTCAAATCAATATCCATGACAAAGGTTCTCAGAGCAGGATGGCGGAGGCATTCATCGATGAGCACAAAGTCAATGCGGCCTTCCGTGCCAGTAGCATGCGCAAACGTGGATGCATCACCAATATGGTGTTCTTCCATGGTCTGAGGAGCAAACATCTGATTGTCAACCAGCCATTGGTGTATCATTTCTCCGTGAGCATTTTCATCACTGGCTTGGTGCGACCCAATTGCAGAGGATGTCAGGGAGCCCACCCTCGCGTTTGCATCTATCAGCAAAATTCGTGGCCAAGATCGATAGGCAGCTGGGATCTCTGTGAGAGCATGGTGCCACCATTGCTGGGCAGCAGCTTCGTCAGGCATGCAAGGAACATGTCCTGATACCAGGATCATCTTGAGGCCATCTACAGAAAGTCGCACAATTAACTTGCGAGCAGACTGATGTAAAATTCGAAGGTGAGCAACGCGCACATGCAAAATGCCAGATTGGTGTGCAATCTCCTTTGCAACCCAAATTTGGACGCCAAAGTGACCCTTCTGCAAAGCTGGTGCTGACAAGACATGGTAAAACTCCGTCTCATGATGGCCTTGCAGCCGGGAGCGTGTTTCTTGGATGCCAGCAATTTGAATCCCTTTCTCATGAAACGAGTGCATGAGGGCCTCATGACGAGCAGAAACAAATCCACCTTGCGCCGATTTGTTGGGATACAGCGTGAGGACATTGGCAGTGGCAACTCTCAAAGTCGCTTCACAGGTCGGGCGTGGTCCTTCATGTTGATCAGCTTGAAATCGAGCCAGAGTGTGCTCTGAGGCATTGACCGCCGGGAGGTCGCTATGCTCAATCTGAAAGCAAAAAGCACCATCACGAATGCAAGGGTATCCCACGACGCCACTACAAGCGTTTTGCCAGAACCAAAGCCATTCAACGACATCATCATATGGTGTGAGCTGCGTGGTGCAAAGACATTCAAAGTCAAAGGCCGGAATCCATCCATGAACAGCAGCCCAGCAAATTGCATCAGCGGCTTCGTTCCAGGGATCACCCCGGTGACTCGGGACATGAAGAAACTCTGTGGGGCAGTGGAAACGGCAGTCAATCCATTGCTGCAAGGCCCTCGTGCGACGATGCAGGTTGGCGTGGTATTGGCAAAGCCATCTTCCTTGGGCAGCAGCTCCAGCAGCAAGGCAATCAAAGGCGAAAACTACTGGGATGTTGCTCTTACCATAGGTCCATGTGCACCATTCAAGCATCTGAAGACACCAAAGTGTAGCAAGGTGCAGGGCAACATGCTCGGCTAAAGGTGCCGTTGCAGGTTGTGGAACAAGACAAGCTCGAAAGCCACCAAACTGGTATCCCCAACTAGTTTCAATGATCATGACCACCGAAGCAGAAGCCGTTCGAGCACCTTCATCAGGAGCAAAGCAAGAAGCGCCATCTGTGTAAAACCAAATCCGCAAAGGCATCGCTCCAGTCCAGTCGCTGGTTTGACATCTGGCTAATTGCGTCTGTGAATGCCACTGGACAACACTGGCAAAGGGCTGAATTGGGCCAATGTTCATAAGCAGAAGCTGGTTGGCAAAGTGTTCAACTCGTTGACATGGAGTACGAAGAACTGTAACACAATGTGGAATCAGCTCTGCAAGAACCAGTTGTTGTGGTGGCACCTGAGGAGTCTCATTCTGCATGACAGGTTCACTTGGTACTGAACCAGAGTCATGACGCAGCAATAGCAGGGTGTTCAACTTGTTCTGAATCGCAACAACTCGTGTTTGCAACATGTTGATCGCATCCACAGAATCAATGTCCGACATGGGGAATGTGGCAGGGGCTAAGAAGCCACGGTCCAGATCCACAGAAACATGAAAGGCAGCACCATGATGAAGGACCGCACCAATTTGATCAACAAGACGCTGTTCACCATGCCAGACAGTGCAAATAGCTCCGGGCGCAAAAGGAGGACATTGAGTTGACACACCAGCCGCCAGTGTGACCTGAGCAACATCTGCATCAGCGGGAAGGATGTCGCAGATCAAACGAGGATACCACGGATCACCCCACAAATCCACAACCGAGAGAATCACAGTGTAAATCTCAGGAAGCGGCTGTTGGATAATGACAACATGGATCACAATTTGGTCATTTCCATCATTTGGAGTGGGCTCAACGACAGCAATGTCAAGAGGCTGATCAGCAAGGACATGATCGCTCCAAATATTGATGATACGCCGTCGCCAGCTCATGAAATCACCACCAAGACGTACAGTGCGATATACATCAGAACGACGATCAGTGATGTGATTCGAGTACCAGACAGCGATATGGAACATTCCATCAGTTTGATCACCTTGTTGTTGCCGCCATAAACGCACAGCATTCAGCATCTGCTGCACAAAGAGGGGTTGGTCTTCCTCATGTGGAGGTGGTGGTGGATCTTGTGCTGCTCTCACATGGCATTCATGGATTGTCTGACGAACTTCGTGGTCAGTGTGATGTTGGCATGTAGAGCACTCATTCTTCAGGGATGTGGTCTGCAAAAGCGAGACCCCTTCCGCATTGTCATAGACGATGGGTGGCGGCAGCTGGTCACTGCCATCATATGGAACTGGTTTGACATGGACTCGTAGGCCTTGGCCCGATGAGAGTTCTGTCGCAACAGCAATGTTCAGTTGACGAGGTCCAATCCAAACTGAACAAGGTCGAATGGAACAATGGGGCGTCAACTCAGACTCCTCAATCACATCTTCAGCAGTGACAAAGCGTGGAAACGATTTGGCAAATTGCATCAAGGCATTCCCTTGCAATGACTCGAAAAGTGTTGACACAACAACAGCAGCACGGCCATTCAGAGGAGCTTGTTCAAGCAGAACATGGCCAGCATAAGATTGCAATGGTGCTCGCATGGGCGTGGGCTGTACTACATAAAATCGCACAGCACGACCTCGCTCCAACAAATCGCTCCAAGTTTGTCGTAAGTCATACGACCAGGAAATGACTTCATTGGTCAGTCGCACAGGTCGGGGATGACGGCAAATTGTATGAGCTTCATGGTGAATGAACCAAGTCTGCAAATACAAATAAAATGGGCCATCAATGACTTCTTGATCACCTTCGATGCGCATGAGCTGTGCACTCTGCTGTTGCCATTGACCAGTCCAGTCCACATCAGGCAGTGCAAGAGCAGCTGGTCGTCGGCTCCTTTCAGAAACAGGAAAGTCATCAAATTCATGTTCTTCGCCATTTTTGTGCTGGCGGATTCCACGGAGTGATTGGCTTCGAATGTGAACATTGTTGGTTGGCACGCGGGCTGGAGCCGCATCTGGATCATCACCTCGAAGCAAGCCAGGAATAAGTCGGCCAGCCAAAGGAAAGTCAAAAAGTTCCGCAGCCTCACGGGCAACTTGGATCGCATGAGCAGTGTCGCCATGTCCTTCAGGAGGAGGTGGCACAATGATCTTGAAGTATGCACCATGCTGAACCAAACGAGTGCCAACTTCTAAGATACGCCATCATCCTCTACCATTGTGGTACACCAGGCAGCTGTGGCGAACCCATTCACAATAGGCATCAACATGGGCTAATTGCAGAATGTTCGCTCGCCGCAAGAGAGGATACACTCTGTGAACCTGTCGGGTGCTATGTGGTGCAACCGGAGGGACTCCTGGTTGATGATGAGAATGCAGTTCCAAATCAATGATCACAAGACACTCAACTGATGCTGGTCGAATGTCATGAACATGTTGTAGAATGACCGCAAGCACATTGGGTGGTTGGTCAGGCAGTTGGCATTGCAAATGGTGCGCTGTGACAACTTGATCAAGCGGTATTTCAGCAATACGTGCAAGCGAAGCAATCATTGCATGGTGTGTTGACCAGTGCATGCCCAAATGTGGTCGGTGCTGCAAGTCGATACACAAAGACAGACTGTCGATCAACTGTCGAGGCCATCGACACATTGGAGTCATAGTCCAAATCGTTGTCATTTGTGTCCTGGCGTTGCTCATCATTATCATCAGCAGTTGGCCGAGCGCCAGAAACATCAGTGGAGATGGCAGGCATTGCTGAGCTGCTGGCAGCGGCAGCACCAGGAAGTCGCCGGATGATAAAACTTTGACCGTCACGGGCATCATGTGTTGGGACATCATTCCATGGTAACTGTGTGCGCCCATGACGAACAGCACAATCGTCCAAGCGGCAGTCTTGTACAGGATGTGCTCGGGCAGCAACATACTTGGCACTTACAAGGTATGGAAGTGAGACAGCCAGCGAACGTTCAGCGCGTTGTTGAGGATCTTGGAATCTGATGACTGTGGCCAGACAAGCACGTCGGGGCAGGTCAAGTCCTTGAATCACTAGCAGATCAAACAACACTGGACGCATCACATCATTGGTTCGTGGTGGATTGGGAAACACCAGTGCCAACGCAACATCTTCATCCTGATACAATTGGTCATCCCAACCAGCAAGGATGTCAGCTGCCCAAAAGCGCCAATGCCCTTGAAGTTCTTGGACTCGGGGTGTGTTCCATTCAGGTACCCTACGGTGATGGACATACCAACTACGAAGACGAACAGGCTCAAGAAGTTCTTCACCCTCAATGAGATCTTCTGCTATGAAGGCTTGAAAGAGGTCTTGGATCGATTGCGGAGCTTCGTGCAAAAATGGTCCAATAGGTGGAGGGGGCTGATCTTGCTGAGCATCATGCGCTTGTCCATCAACTGGAAGATGCCGTAGAGGAAAATGTCGATCATCAGCATTGCGATGGGAACGTGGCTTGCTGATACGTTTTCCACTCCAGGGCTTATCAATCCATGTAGAAAGCGATGCCTCAGAGATATCAAAACTGTGCAGCGTCCAATCAACGTCAGGGCTAAGCGCAACGGAAACAATTGGATTGAACTTCACCTGTCGACTGCTTCCCAAAGCAGGGCGTGAAGTGTGGCGCTCAACTGCATGACGGTGGCTGGGCTGCAATGTACCAAGGTCAAACGACAAGCACAATGCACGGAAAGATGCCTGCCAAACCGTGGTGAATGTTGGTTCCTCCCAAATTGAGTGAGTCCAGGCCAAAATGGCAGCATGGCTCACTTCCGAGGCTACCAGGCCTGCGCAAGAACTCGGCAACGCTGACGTCACTTGCGGGCCGTGCCAAAAGGCTCCAATGGCCCAGGCAATGAGGGAGCCCCATCTTCCGCCTCGCCTGTGAGATCTGTGGGCTCGTTCAGGCGGGGTCTCTTGGCAGAGTTGTTGGAGTCGACGGCCATGGCTTCTGCACTGCTTTTCAAATTGGTCAGATGGCCATGCATCAAGTCCAAGTCTTGTTGAAGCCGGGCAACTGCGGGATCGTCCACAGGCTCGGTAGACATCGCCGCTTCGGCACTTTCGATCAGCTGCTGGTCGCTCTTGGACAAATCGATGAGAGCGCTGCGGCATTCCTCGAAGACCTCCTTGGCAGAGTGGAGGTTCTGCTGAGCTTCTTCGATTCGTGCCAAAAGGGCAGCCTCCTGCTGTTTGAACCCCTCGGTATATGCTTGCCACATTTCCAAGGCTTCTCCAAGAAACGTTCTCCAGGATCCATGCAGGCGATGTCGAGCAAGACGGGCTTGATCCAAGTCCTCCCGAGCTTCGCTGAGGTCCGTCACCGACTGATGCATGGTCTTGGTGGTAGCGGAGCGCTGCTTCTTGGCATACTTCTGCATGATAGCATGTGCATCTGCAGGCATATCCGGGATCTTTTTCATCTCGTTCAAAAAGCCTCTGAGCTGAGCATCGCTTGTTGATGCTGGGGCTGGAGGAGGAGCTGCGCCAGCCACAGTGCTCGCAGTCGAAGGTGTCGGCTGCCAAGGCGGTGCCGGAAGTTGGATCCCGAGGGCTGCTGGGCCAAACTGAGGCTCGGTCGTATTGTACGACGTGTTGGCCTTGCCTTTCCCCTTGCCGTTGCCTTTGCGACCTCGACTTTGACTCCTCCTTGGCGACTTGGGTCTCTGCTGTCGCTGATGAGGCCATTGATTCGACCATTGATTCCATGTATTCATATCTCCATTGTCCCATTGCTGCTGCCGTCGCCGCGGACTGGCTCCCCGTGCCTGATGGACGTAGGTGGTGTCTCGATCCTCCCAGTAGGTGCCACAATCCGGACAACGGTTGTGGCTCTGCTTGCAAAGTCTCCAACACCAGCCGCAACGCCATGATTCCTTCTCTACCTTTGCCATGACTGCCCAATGAAGGTGAGCCAACAATGCAGGGTCTCGAGAATGATGTGAGGAAAGCGTTTGCTGCACACGTCGAAGACAAGGCAGTGAGAGATCTTTGTATCCCTTCTTGAACAGATACCAATCCAGTCGTGCCTTTGCACGGAGACGCCTCTGAGCACGCCTGGCAGTATTGGTCGCCGTGACGTAGACAGCAGAGTCCCGTGAAGAGCGTGAGCACAATGGTCAAAATGAAGACAAAGAAGATGAAATTGAATTGCAAACAGGTCCTGAACATTCACAAGGGCGAGGATAAAGAACAGGTCAAAGAGTGCCAGCGCCAAGCGTAGCCCAATGAAGCTGTAAATCCACCCCAAATACCAGAGGCCAAGTTAATGGCAGCTAAGGCAATTCCAAGAACCGCAAAGTGACAATGGATAACGGGAAAATCAACCAAATATCCTAAATCAGATGCGGGATGAGGAAGTTCAGGTTCGAGAAAGACCTCGGAATTGAGCAACGGTGATACGGACCTGCACGGGATCCGTAGAGCACAAGTCGCAGAAGGCGCTGCTCCAAATCAAAAGCGCAGCACCCGCGGGCAGAGGTCCAACCCGCTAAGGCAGATGGCGACGAACCGGCCCAAACGGGAACGGGGGCAGGGTTTGACCCGAAATGCCTTACCATCTTAAATCCATGAAAAAATCCCATGATATGCCCCATGAAACATCCCATCAATCCCAGTACATCCCATTCAATTCCTTCAAATTTATCCAATTTAAATCCAATTAAACCCCAGTAAACCCATGATTTCCCATTTAAATCCCATGAATTCTCCCCTGTTTTTTGGGGGGTCCAATAGAGAATCTCAGCTCCCAGAAAATCCAGGTGAAGACCGACCCGGAGATTGCCAGGAAGATCTCCCAGGCTGGTTATCTCTTGGGATGATGATGATAGATCATTATATCTCATTATGTATCATTATGTATCATGATGATGATGATGATGATATTAGTAGTAGTTGATGATGATTGATGGTTGATGGTTGATGATTGTTATCATTGTTATTGTTAGTATGTAGTACTATTGTCATTATTATATATGATGATGATGATGGTGGTGATGATGATTTATTGTATTTTGCTGATAATCCTCATTGAGAAATGACTATAATGACTACTTTTAGCCATGCTAAATCCCAAACTTTGTTTATTATTAATCTTTTGGGAAGCATCACATTATTTTTTCCGGTTTCAGAATGATTTAGGATGATGTAGTGAATGGTCCTCAATGAGTACCTTCTGTCTGGGAAGAACATATTGTTCAGAATCATTGTTGTTTGCCCAGAAACTGTATTTTATGGATGGGTGAGTTTTTGTTTCTCTTGTTCTATGCATATTTGAGGTAGTGGGAAGATCCGTTTCTATCTTGTGCCACCTCCAAAAAATGGTTAGCTGACCACGTTGCCGGTACTGTAATCCACTTTTTCCAGTTGCATGACAGTTCTGAGATTTCCAGATCCTTCTGTCTGATAGATTGGTCATAAGCTGAATGCGGCGGGTTTGTTGAGCCCATGGCGATACCGTGAACATTTTAGCCGTTTTACCCCAATGATTTTGTTTCGATGGGAATATCTTGGCCCATCCCAACATCTCAGCCATACATTCTAACTTGCCTTGAAGCCGGCCATGCAAAATGAGTTTGTTCAAAAACTGCCCCCTGGCCATTGGGGTTCGTTCAACCACTCCGCAGGGATTTTAGTGTGGCTACTGATCTGTTATCCACGCTAATTTTGTGGGTTAGAACACTGTTTCCGTTGGGTAAACCTTCCATGTTTGTAGAGTATTTATATAATTTTATATATACAGCATCTAACATTAACATGGAAACCACAAATTGCCATGTGTTGGGAAAATCATCTTCCAGACCCACTTTTTGGGGGTTCCATGTTCGGGTATACTCATTGGGGAGTGGGCATCCCTATATTTGAAGGGAATGAATATCCGTAGATGAACAAATATGTTTGCAAGTATCTCAGGTTTAGAAAGAAGGCCTTTTTTTTGATGCGGGTACACTCATATTTCCCATCCCAAGACTCATATTTCCAGTTGTATTTCTATTGGCAATTTGCGGATCAGGTGTGCTCTGAGCTCAACATTGATGGGTTGCGAGGTGACATCGTCAGGGCCCTCAGGGTTTTTGATCACAGGGTCACTTAAACCTGCAATGATTTAACCATGGAAGAAATCCATGAGCTTTTTGGATGATTTAACCATGGATTTAACCATGGATTTAAGGGGAGGGATCCGGGATTTCCAGCTGCCATGGTTCGGGCAACTCGAAATTTCATTCCGAAACCGGGCCATGTCGGGCCATTTCTTGAGATCCCAATTCATTGGGTCCTACCTTGGACACTCCGGAACTACAAGAGCTAAAATGATCACGTGGGTCATGGGTGAAAACCCCTCGTTGACACTCAAAATCAGAGATATGGGGATGGATCAATACCTATTAATACCATTTTTAGTGGGATGAACATCCATTTACCAGCTATTTTGGGGTTCACTAGGTACCAGGGTTTTGATCCATCCCCATATCACTCAGCAAAAATGCTTCTATAAACAAGCAGCACCAGCATGGGTTTGTTTGAACATAGGGGACACCAAAATCTCAATGTTTATCACAATCTAAATGGTCATTTTATCGTTTAATCCCGATTTTCAGACACACCCATATGCCATGACCTTCAGACAAACCCAAACTTTATGGGTGTAAGTATATGTTTTTTTCCCTTTACCCAATGAAACCAACATTAACGTTGTCAACAAATAGGGGAACCATGTGATGCCCCCTCCCGTTATGTTTGTTGGTTCATAAACGCATCCAACTCTAGATAAATCCACCATACCCCCAACCAAGACCTATAGTACTTTTGTAAGCCAGCATTAGCTATTTGTTTGGGGGCATCACAAAACCTAGGAGATGTATTGATATCCCGATCATATATATCCCAATAGAATGGGCTAGCGCCCTGGTGCCGCCGACCCCCCCTATTTGGGGGGTGCTGTAGAGAGAGGGAGAGAGAGGGAGGGAGAGATAGAGAGAGGGCTTGGTGGAAGCTGCCGCGAGGGAGTTGGAGGGTTTTAGGGGTTTTAAGGGTTTGAATAACGGTTTGAAGGCTGGCAAACGGCAGGCTTGAACGCCATAACAACAGAGGGCTATGCAGGCAAACGCAGGCAAACTGCAGGCTGCAACGCTGGAACAGCAAAGGCTTACAGGAGGGCTTGGTGGAAGCTGCCGCGAGGGATTCGGAGCATTTTAGAGGTTTTAAGGGTTTGAAGGGTTTTAAGGGTTTGAAGGCTGGCAACGGAGCATTTTAAGGGTTTTAAGGGTTTGAAGGCTGGCAAACGGCAGGCTTGAACGCCCTAACAACAGAGGGCTATTCGCAGGCAAACGGCAGGCTGCAACGCTGGAACAGCAAGGGCTTACGGCCGCAGGGCTTGGTGGAGGCTGCCGCGAGGCGCCCTAGGCAGGGACGCCCTAGCAACAGAGGGCGATGCAAGAAAACGCAGGCAAACGGCAGGCTGCAACGCTGGAACAGCAAAGGCTTACGGCCAGAGAGGGCTTGGTGGAAGCTGCCGCGAAGGATTTGGATGGTTTTAGGGGTTTTAAAGGTTTTAAAGGTTTGAAGGCTGGCAAACGGCAGGCTAACAAGAAAGTTTAAGGGTTTGAAGGCTGGCAAACGGCAGGCATGGACGCCCTAACAACAGAGGGCAATGGAGACAAAGGGCAGGCTGATCGAAGCTGCCGCCAAGCAGTGAAGCATTTGGAGCCAAGAAAAACAAGTTCCACACCTGTGGTGGTCCCAGGCGCCGCCCCTGCCTTGGCGAAGGCCGTGGTCGGCGGATAACTGTATATATATATATATATATGTACATAATTGGTAATAAAATTTGTGACAACACGGTGTCATGCGCACAGTTGCCCGGTGTGCTCAACGGTTGTTTGGTCATCGCAGTCATGTGGGCGCATTGCGGTGACGCATGTCACGCCGTCGGGAAAACGATGCGAGATGAAACATTGGCACGTTCCCGACAAAAAGTCAAAGAAAAAAAGGAAATGAAATAGAAAGACGCTGCGCTAGCCGTAGGAACAGATGGCACTGGCAAAACCCCTGCTGCGAAGCATTTGAGAGGTGTGAAAGCTGGCAAACGGAAGGGATGTGCGCGGGAACAACAGACGCGATGGAAGCAAACGGCGGGCGTCAACAGTCCCCCAACAAATGCCTGCGGCCAGAGTCTCTGGTGAAAGCTGCTGCCAAGGATTTTGAAAGTTTTGACGATTGGAAGGCTGGCTGCAACGCTGGAACAGCAAAGGCTTACCGCCACACGGTTTGGTGGAAGCTGCCGGGAGGGAGTAAGGGATTGAACGCTGGCAAACGGCAGGCTTGAACGCCCTAACAACAGAGGCTATGTGCAGGCAAACGGCCGGCTGCAACGCTGGAACAGCAGGGGCTGACGGCCACAGGGCTTGGTGCAACCGGCTATGTGCAGGCAAACGGCCGGCTGCAACGCTGGAACAGCAGGGGCTCACGGCCACAGGGCTTGGTGCAACCGGCCGGCGGAGCATTTTAAGCGTTATAAGGGTTTGAAGGCTGGCAAACGGCAGGCTGGAACGCCCTAACAACAGGGGCTATGTACAGGCAAACGGCAGGCTGCAACGCTGGAACAGCAGGGGCTCACGGCCACAGGGCTTGGTGCAACCGGCCGGCGAAGCATTTTAAGCGCTATAAGGGTTTGAAGGCTGGCAAACGGCAGGCTGGAACGCCTTAACAACAGAGGCTATGTGCAGGCAAACGGCAGGCTGCAACGCTGGAACAGCAGGCTTGCTGATGCTTGTTTGTTGCCCCTGTTGCCCTTGGGCCATGGCTTTGGCCCAGTTTCAGCTCACCTAGACAATTTCATTTGGTTTAGATTGTAACATTAAACTAACTTATGTCTCCTCACAATTTAAAATTGACCATGAAAGTGTAAGGAGGCGTAAGTCAATGACAATTGACATCATTCTGAATCAGCAGAGCCGGCAGTCTCCTGACAATGGTCACATAATAAGGAGGCTTAGATCAGCTTCAGTAAAATCGACCTCTTCTCGCCGGTTTTGTCAAGCTGTTTTGCTCCAAGCTGTTTTGTTGCCGCCGCAGCTGTTTTGCTTCAAGCGTTTCCTCAAGTCGCCCCTGCAAGTTCAAGTCAGCCATGCTGGTCTTGCTGTGCACTGCGCTGGCTGTGCTGGGCGAGGCCCAGCCGCCGACGAGGACAGGTGGCGGCGGCAGTGCCCCTGAGCCTGGTGCTCCACCGCCTGGTGGGGCTGGCGCCTTAGCCCAGGCCTTGTGGCTGTACCTCCAGGGCGCTACGGCGACTCCGATGACGCCGGGCTTGCCACCAGTTGCACCTACAGAAGCTGCACCTACAGTTACAGCAGCTACGCCACCAGCTGGGCCTACAGCACCTACGCTACCAGCTGCACCAGTTGCTGAGAGCCCCCCAACAGCACCTGATGTGCCTGACACCTCTGCTGGGGATGGCCCACCACCGTGGAGGAGGTCAAGGGGCTCAGCGCCAGCGACGGCTCCTGTTGCCCCAGCGGCGACAGCTCCCAAAGCCCCAGCAACGGCGCCGCCGCCGATTGATGTGGATGCTGAGCCTAAGGCGGCGCCAGCAGAAAAAAGGCCTTTGAGTCTCGACTTGCGCTACTGCCGGGTCTGCAATGAAGTGGCCTACAAGGGGAAGTCGGAATGTCTCAACAAAGACTGCGTGCCTTGGTTTTGTCTGTATGTTTTTTTTATTGGGTCTTTTGTTTTACTAAATAACTTACGCGGGTCTGACCTTCTGTTTCAGGACCTGTGGAAGATTTGGCACCAGCCACAAAACAAACGACACAAGACGAACAGGGGCAAAAAGAGAGTCACGTGGTACGCAGAGACAAAAGCTGCCCATGCCGCTGAATGGCTGTGGTGGGAGCCAGAGACGCATACTCCACTTTGGCGAGGGGGCCGAGACTGGAATGACTGGAATGACAATCCAGGCTCAGGACATGCTTCGTCGTCGTCTAGCCGCTCACGCGGCAGGTGGCAATGGGCTTGGGTGAGCTAAGACTCAGATCGCGACATGGCACTGACAAGCAGGCGGGTGAAAAAAAGTCTTTGCGTGCTGCTGGGGGGGGCTGCCTGGGCCGAGGGTCTGTCGCAGAGCAAGGAGGCTCTAGCAGTCTCTCCTGTCTCTCATCATCTTTGACATAAAAAATTAAGCAAGGAGGCGCGAACAGTCTCCTATTATTTAAAATGTGGTTGTGTCAGACTCCTATCATCATCAAGAGAAAATGTTGATTAAGGAGTTTGACACTGACTACAGTATATTGTGGAACTTTTGAAGGAAGCCTTTGGGCTCCTACATGCTGCCTGTGACAAGGAGGCTGAAGCAGACTCCTACACAGGAGAAAGACGACCCCAAGGACACCAATTATTTTTATTTTCAATCAGGGTCTCCGGTTTAATATTCAAGCGAAGGAGGTTCAAGCAGTCTCCTGCGCGTGTGTTAACCTTAGAGACCTCAGGTTTAATTAGCAAGATTTCCAACGACAACGAAGCAAGCCCAAGGGATGCATCACCGACTGATGTCGCAGTCAAAAGTTGTTTGGAATAATATGACTCCACAATCTCCTGAACAAAGGAGGCGGCTGTCAAGACCCAAGCAGGTCGCAGCCAGTCTCCTAGTCAAAGGAGATATCGGAACTTGAGTTCAACTCAGACTTCGCTGGTCAAGGATGGTGTTTGTTCAAGGACAGCCTCCTCATCAGACTCCGTCAGAGATTTAGAATCAGGAATTCGAAAGGCCATGCTTCTGAATGTTGCGCTTGCACACTTGCAGTCGTTCAAGTTGTTTCCCATTGTTGCTTCGCTTGCTCAAAAATTAGGGGTGGCCAGGGTAGTTTGAAACTTTGACTCTGTAGTCTTTAGACAGGAAGTGATCAAAGACGTGAAGAAGGAGCCGACAACGAAGACTAGCCAGGACAGCTTCCCTCTGAATCCTGAAGCCCTGACGAAACAGAAGAACATGCTCAAAAACATGTCTACAAAGGGCATTGTCTTTTCAAAGTATAGACTCTAAGACATAAGCCGTCATCAAGGCAGGCCAAGCGGTCTCCTCCTAGTTGAGTAGGACAGCTTGAGACAAAGTGCTTTCCACTAAAGGTAAGGCAGGCCGACATGGTCTCCTAACTTGACAAAATTGTCAAAGCTAAGGCAGGCCGACATGGCCTCCTCACACTTCGCGGCGAGGTGCCCCAGGGTCACCTCGCGAAGCCGGGCCGGTCTGGCTCTGCGAGGAGCCTCGCGAACCCGGACCGGTCTGGCTTTGCGAGGTGACCCTGTTAAATCCCTAGGGTCACCTCGCGAAGCCGGGCCGGTCTGGCCTTGCGAGGGAGGGGAGTTAAAAATCGGTGCGACCCTGGGAAATGGCTCGCACAGGGTTGCGTGGATTTTTAACAGGGTTCCCTCGCGAAGCCCGGCCGGTCTGGCTCTGCGAGCAAGCCCTGTTAATGCCCTAGGGTCACCTCGCGAAGAATTTCACACTTTTTCTTGCGAGGCAGGGGTGGGTAACCCGGCAAGCAACTTAGCCGCCTGGGCAATGTCTATGCTCACAGAGGAATGTAGTAATTTACGATATGTCTTGACACCTGACATTACTCACACTGAGATTCAACAATTCTGTGTTGCAGTGCTAGAAGTCTCACATGTGTTGCAGTGCAAGCGTAGGGCCTCACTCACTTAGAGCATGCCGCGGACAACGGAAGTCGCACAGAGTAAGCTGGAGAAGCTCGTGGGGAAGCTCAAGGCTTACGTGAAGGAGCACAAAGCTCGGCCATTCCAACCAAGGTTCGTTGCTCTGTGCCTGCCGAAGGTGTTGTGGTGGCTGTGGTAGACCCGCTGAGCGTTGGCCACAAGCTCTTCAAGGAAGCTTCCAAGCAGTCTGTGTGGCTGATGTTCAATGAGAAATCGGTTCGTGAAAGGAAGCAGATCGTCAGAGCGGGCGCCTACAGCCAGCAGATGCTGTGCAACCTCTACAGTGAGAAGCCATTGAGTTTGACCATGCCCGAGGTTGAGCGCAAGATCTATCCCGGCTTTAGCCACGGCGACGTCATCGGGTACATTTCTTGCTTGGGCCCTTCGAAGCTTTGGCGAGTTCCCAGGCTGGTGGTTCTTAGCTTTGAATGTTTGTCGTGTCAAATAATAGTCAGCGTTTTTCAAAACATCTTCGCTGCCCCATTGTCAGGAAGGACAAGCTCGACATCCTTGGCAGCCGGCACGTGTTCATTCCGGCCAACGCAAGCCAGCAAGGCGACGGCCAGCCGGCAGAGGATGCGGCAGGAGCTGGAGAGCTTGAGAGCGTGTTCAGTTGCTCCATGCTGCCGGTCGAGTACTACATGGAGATGGTCCATTCCCTGAGCTGCATCGGCATTGTCGACGCATCTCCAGCACAAGGACTGCAAACCGTGTTACTTAAGTCATTGGTTTTTTTTAATTCATCGGAAAATCTTGCAGGAGAGCTCCTGAAAGCAGCGATGTCTTCTCGCACTCCTTGTCTTGCAATTTGCGGGACGGATGGACATTGCAAGAAGCTTGAGATCATGTTGACGGAATACATCTACGAAGAGCAGCAGCGGGATGGATCCACCTACTACATCCCTGAATGAGATGACGGCCAAGAGCCAGAATGACGAGCCCAAGCCCAAGTCAAAGGCCAAAGCAAAGCCGGTGACCAAGAAGCGCCCCAAGAAGAATGAGACGGCGCCGGGTGACGGTGACGAGGAGGCGGAGGCCCAGGGCGAAGAGCCTGAGCAGAAGAAGCCCAAGACGACGAAGAACAAGACGAAGAAGAAGAGTGTCGAAGACGAGGGCGCCGCCTCTGACGGTTCAGGGTCGAGCATGGCCTGGTAGATATTTTTGGCGTCGCTATTAACTTGTGACGGGTATCATTGTCACTGAATCTGTGACAGTGCGGGGAGCCTGCAGTGAGAGCACTGCGCTGGCCAATCTTGATCTTTAAGTCGTTTGTTCTCCTGACTGATGCGCAAAGGAGGATAAAAGCTGTTGTGTGCGTTTTTTTGCTGTGGCCACTGTGAAAGCTGTTCAGAAATAGGTTTGCCACAGCCTCGGCCTGACTCACGACTAAGTAACTTTAAATAATTTAACGGTTCCTCCTCACTTGGCTGTACCCACTCCCACGGCAGCCTTGGCTGTAATGTTCGTGTCGTTCGTTTAAAGAGCCTAGCCATGAAGTGGACTGACCTTCTGGCCTTAAGGCGCACTTTGCGGGAGTTCGTTGATTGGGATGACTATGTGGTGCACGAGATGGAACGCCTCCGCAATGGCCTCTACTACACCGCACAGCTCTGCGATGGCAGCGCTGTGCCTGCACTCTCCTTGTGCCACGACGTGTTGACCAACTTGCGCTTTGGCCTTCCTCACATCACACAGGCTGAAGACTTGGAAGAAGTCCCAATGTCCGTGCTGCGCTTTCCACATCGAGAAGTACCAGGCTTTGAAAACTTACCAATGTTTGTGCGGTTCAATGAGCTTGGGCAGACTAGGCCTCAGAGGGATCAATCCATGACTGAGGCTTTGGCCGCCGTGGGAGACTTAGGCATTTTTATCAAGGCTGCAAAAAGATGCGGCGGCCTGGAAGAATTCCAAGATGACTTACAGGTCGCCTTGAAGACGATGTCGCAACTTGCCCGTGCATATGCAGATTACTTGGCGCCCTGGATTTGAATGGCATGTGTCCCTGCAGCAGTTTAAAATGACAGGTTAGTCGTCTCCTTCGCTTTAAAAATTTAGAGTGGCAAGGAGGCTTAATAATAATAAGTCTCCTGAAACCCCAGTTACATCTGACAAGGAAGCTTGCACCAGCTAAGCCTCCTAAATTTGAATTGGTTGATACATGATAATCGTTCAATGTCAAGGAGGCAGCCAGCTGCCTCCTAACTTGGGAGGCGCCAGTTAGTTTGCTGGAGGGCGCCACCGTGCGCAGCGGGGAGGGGCTGCGCACTAAATAGTCCTACACAAACAACATCAAAGGGCAACAGGGGCAACAAACAAGCTTCGGCAAGCAGGGGCTCACGGCCACAGGGCTTGGTGCAACCGGCCGGCGAAACATTTTAAGCGTTGGAAGGGTTTGAAGGCTCTCAAACGGCAGGCTTGAACGCCCTAAGAACAGAGGCTATGTGGAGGCAAACGGCAGGCTGCCACGCTGGAACAGCAAGGGCTCACGGCCACAGGGCTTGGTGCAACCGGCCGGCGGAGCATTTTAAGCATTTTAAGGGTTTGAAGCCTGGCAAACGGCAGGCTTGAACGCCGTAACAACAGAGGCGGCCACAGGGCTTGGTGCAACCGGCCGGCGGAACATTTTAAGCATTGTAAGGGTTTGAAGGCTGGCAAACGGCAGGCTTGAACGCCCTAACAACAGAGGCTATGTGCACGCAAACGGCAGGGGCCACAGGGCTTGGTGCAACCGGCCGGCGGAGCATTTTCAGCATTTTAAGGGTTTGAAGCCTGGCAAACGGCAGGCTTGAACGCCCTAACAACAGAGGCTATGTGCAGGCAAACGGCAGGCTGCAACGCTGGAACAGCAGGGGCTCACGGCCACAGTCCTTGGTGCAACCGGCCGGCGGAGCATTGTAAGCGTTATAAGGGTTTGAAGGCTGGCAAACGGCAGGCTTGAACGCCCTAACAACAGAGGCTATGTGCAGGCAAACGAGAGGCTGCAATGCTGGAACAGCAGGGGCTCACGGCCACAGGGCTGGTGCAACTGGCCGGCGGAGCATTTTAAGCATTTGAAGGGTTTGAAGGCTGGCAAACGGCAGGCTTGAACGCCCTAACAACAGAGGCTATGTGCACGCAAACGGCAGGGGCCACAGGGCTTGGTGCAACCGGCCGGCGCATCATTTTAAGCATTTTAAGGGTTTGAAGCCTGGCAAACGGCAGGCTTGAACGCCCTAACAACATGGGGCGGCCACACAGGGCTTGGTGCAACCGCCGGCGGAACATTTGAGGCAGTGTAAGGGTTTGAAGGCTGGCAAACGGCAGGCTTGAACGCCCTAACAACAGAGGCTATGTGCAGGCAAACGGCAGGCTGCAACGCTGGAACAGCAGGGGCTCACGGCCACAGGCCTTGGTGCAACCGACCGGCGGAGCATTTTAAGCGTTATAAGGGTTTGAAGGCTGGCAAACGGCAGGCTTGAACGCCCTAACAACAGAGGCTATGTGCAGGCAAACGAGAGGCTGCAATGCTGGAACAGCAGGGGCTCACGGCCACAGGGCTGGTGCAACCGGCCGGCGGAGCATTTTAAGCATTTGAAGGGTTTGAAGGCTGGCAAACGGCAGGCTTGAACGCCCTAAGAACAGAGGCTATGTGCAGGCAAACGGCAGGCTGCCACGCTGGAGCAGCAAGGGCTCACGGCCACAGGGCTTGGTGCAACCGGCCGGCGGAGCATTTTAAGCATTGTAAGGGTTTGAAGCCTGGCAAACGGCAGGCTTGAACGCCCTAACAACAGAGGCGGCCACAGGGCTTGGTGCAACCGGCCGGCGGAACATTTTAAGCATTGTAAGGGTTTGAAGGCTGGCAAACGGCAGGCTTGAACGCCCTAACAACAGAGGCTATGTGCACGCAAACGGCAGGGGCCACAGGGCTTGGTGCAACCGGCCGGCGCATCATTTTAAGCATTTTAAGGGTTTGAAGCCTGGCAAACGGCAGGCTTGAACGCCCTAACAACAGAGGCTATGTGCAGGCAAACGAGAGGCTGCAATGCTGGAACAGCAGGGGCTCACGGCCACAGGGCTGGTGCAACCGGCCGGCGGAGCATTTTAAGCATTTGAAGGGTTTGAAGGCTGGCAAACGGCAGGCTTGAACGCCCTAACAACAGAGGCTATGTGCAGGCAAACGGCAGGCTGCCACGCTGGAACAGCAAGGGCTCACGGCCACAGGGCTTGGTGCAACCGGCCGGCGGAGCATTTTAAGCGTTGTAAAGTTTGAAGCTGGCAAACGGCAGGCTTGAATGCCCTAAGAACAGAGTCTATGTGCAGGCAAACGGCAGGCTGCAACGCTGGAACAGCAGGGGCTCGCGGCCACAGGGCTTGGTGCAAAGGCCGGCGGAGCATTTTAAGCGTTGTAAAGTTTGAAGCTGGCAAACGCCAGGCTTGAATGCCCTAAGAACAGAGTCTATGTGCAGGCAAACGGCAGGCTGCAACGCTGGAACAGCAGGGGCTCGCGGCCACAGGGCTTGGTGCAAAGGCCGGCGGAGCATTTTAAGCGTTGTAAAGTTTGAAGCTGGCAAACGGCAGGCTTGAACGCCCTAACAACAGAGGCTATGTACACGCAAACGGCAGGGGCCACAGGGCTTGGTGCAACCGGCCGGCGGAGCATTTGGAGCATTTTAAGGGTTTGAAGCCTGGCAAACGGCACGCTTGAACGCCCTAAGAACAGAGTCTATGTGCACGCAAACGGCAGGGGCCACAGGGCTTGGTGCAACCGGCCGGCGGAGCATTTGGAGCATTTTAAGGGTTTGAAGCCTGGCAAACGGCAGGCTTGAATGCCCTAAGAACAGAGTCTATGTGCAGGCAAACGGCAGGCTGCAACGCTGGAACAGCAGGGGCTCGCGGCCACAGGGCTTGGTGCAAAGGCCGGCGGAGCAGTTTAAGCATTTGAAGGGAGCTATGCAGGCGAGGCTTACGGCCACAGGCCTGGGTGGAAGCCTTGGACAATGTCAAGGCCAAACGGCCACAGGCCTGGGTGGAAGCCTTGGACAATGTGAAGGCCATGGCCGTGACAAAGCAGGTTCCACACCTCCGGTGGTCCCAGGCGCCGCCCCTGCCTTGGCGAAGGCCGGGGTCGGCGGATAAATAATAATTGATAATATAATAATAGTTAAGAAGAATTAATGATAATATTACGATTACAACAATTATTACTATATTATATATATATATATTATATACATATGTATACTGTATATATTTCTAACCAACTCCTTGGTTTATTCCGGAATCGGAATCCCCATAGGCAGTGCTTGAGGCTCCATGATGCTCCAGGTTGCTGTCCGACTGAATTGGTGATCTCAACACATCAAAGGGGCTTTCATTCCCCAACTTTGATGCTAAAAAGCAGGACACTTTCGAAGTTTTCCTTGAAATCCATCCAATTTCCACCATTTTCCCAGCATTTTCACCATTTTCCCAGCATTTTCCCAGCATTTTCCCAGCATTTTCCCAGCATGTTCAGTACCATTTCCCATCATTTCCCCAGATGTTCCGCCAGGTTTGGTGTCTGGCCCAATGGTTGCCGCACCCATCCTGGAGGTTCCGAGTGCCTCACCTGGCCTCACCGTGGAGATGGAGCTGGAACTGGTCTCTGACAAGGAGCTGATGGGATCGCACCGCTGGGGGATTTTTTTTTCTGGAAAATATGGGAAATCCGTGAAGTATCGGAGAGTGTTTTTGGGATGACTTAGATTCGATATTTTTTGATGAACTTAGACTTAGATGACTTAGATATTAAAAAAATAAAAGTTTTTTTTTGGGGAGGGTTCTTCTAGGACACGTGGGTAAGTGGACAACTGTTGGATTTCCAATGAACTTAGAGCTATGATCTCAGTTTCTTCATCATACTCGTGGTACCCATAAAATTATACAATATTATACATAAGGGCTAAGGGTTTTATCCTCATTAAACCACCATTAAACCCCAGTTTTACAGATGGATCTTTCCCAGAACACCTACGCCATGGTCATCCATGGTCTATTTTTCAGGATGATGTGGAAGTGGCCTACGCCTTGGTGACACCCGGCGGCCAGCCCTTTGGGGATCTCCTGCAATTCCGGGTGGAAAAAACGGAGGTGGAGAGTCCCATTTGCGTCATCCTGAAGGTGGGATGGTGATCAGAAGCCAACCACTTAAGATGGATATATTATATATATATAATATATACATAATACACATATATATATATGTTGGATATTATTCTGGATTTACAATACATGATGTGGGATGATGTGGGATGATCTGCGCAGGCTCCTGAGACCTGTTTCTTGGATGCCAGACCGGTGACAGACTGCGATATGTTGCGATGGCTTTTTGGCATGTCATCCCAGGATTTTTCCAAATCTAGTTCTGACTGGGAATTTTATGGGCTGAAACATGCTGAAACTGGCTGAATTTCATGGCAAGACACCCCCAAGATTTCATCAAAATGTCGAGATTTGCCATGAGATGTACGACTGAGCTCCTTCCTAAGAATGGATGTGTTCCAAGCGTTCCGAAATGTTCCGAAGATGCATTTCTTGGGCCCCAAATTGGCCCCAAGGTGTCGAGGGGCTGCAGGGTGAAGTGAAGATGATGCGTTGGACACTGGCCAACATCAGCAAGGTCAGTTGGCCGAAGTGGGGGACCTCAGATAGCTCAGGGGGCTGCCAGAGGTTGGGGATTTCAGGAGGACTTCATGTATTTCATATGGGTTAACTGGGATAACCAACTTGATTCTATGAAATGATGAACTTGAGTTGAGGTGGGTTTATATAGATTCTATTAGAAGGTAGATTTTGAAAGAAAGCAGTGGTTCTTATTTGTCTATTTCACTCACATTGCGATGAATCTTCCAACTGAATGAAAGTGGTGCGCTCTCTGCGCAGAGCTTTCGAATTCTCAGGGACGCCTGCTGCCAGCTGTTCTACAACACTCCGGGCTTTGCCAATTTGCCATGCAGCATCGAAATGCCTGAGGAAGTACCTGCAGGCGCTTTAAAAAAACTTGGCTGTGGATAAAGGGCAATGTTATGCCAATGTGCTTCACAAAAAATAGTTTGCACAAGTCATCAGTTGGGTTCCAACGATTTTTGATGCCAAACTTGGGAAGCGCAGAACTCTGAAAGATTTGAAAACGAAGTCATTGAGCTGGCTTGACTGTGAAACTGTTTCAAGCGGTTCCTAGATGTTCCAATCAATGTAGAAACATACGATGCATCCACATAGAAATAGGACATTTTCATATACCCATAGGATCCATGTATGCTATATATGGTAACATGGATCCCATCAATATACCCCCTTTATGTTAGCATATATACCATACATGGATGATATGGGATAGGAAAGTTGGAAATATGTTGGAACAACAGTTGGAGCCCTGAAAATCCTGATCCAACATGTCTTTTTAGCCCGTTTCCAAGGCATGACTGTCGAGGTGGAGGCGGGGCAAGCCCCCAGCTACAGAACTTCTTGTGAACCTCTGATATTTCTGATTAAACAATCTACAGTAACTACAGTAGATTTTCTGAATTTTAGTGGAACTACAGTAGATTTTCTGAATTTTAGTGGAACTACAGTAGATTTTCTGAATTTTAGTGGAACTACAGTAGATTTTCCATCAGTGTCCACCCTTTTCCATCTCGAAACAAAAATCCTCACCAAAATCACCATCTGCTGCGAAAAACCGAAAACGTACTACCGTGGTAGGTGCCAGTGCTGCTGCCAGAGAAGGAAGGCCAATTCAAAGCCATGTGGGCCGTCACATCGCCCTCCCTGAGCGACTTTGGCGAGGCGAGACGTCGCAGAAGACCTTTCAAACTGTGGGTAAAGCAATAAACCATCCCCCAGTCATTACCATTTTAATGGTGGTTTAATGGGGTCTAATACCAACAAAAATGGTGATTCTAATGGCATTTACTCTCTGGTAAACTAACAGTTTGCTATTGAACATGGCCATAGAAATAGTGAGTTTTCCCATTAAAAATTGTGATTTTCCATAGTTATGTTAGTTTACCACAGGGTACCATTTTTATAGGTGGTATCATTACCATTCCCAGTCATGGTGGTTTATGACATTGTTTTACCCACATGAAAAGCCCACATGAATAGGGCATGATAGCAAAGAGATTCGGTTGGATTTCCATTCTGGGAGATATAGCCTCAGCTAATTTGAGTTACATGGATATGGAAAATGGATGAACCTTTTTCCCACTTTCGATAAATGATCGAATTAAACATGCTAATACTTCGCAAATTGCAAGAAATTACCATGGAGAATTATACCTCCAGGATGGTTAAATTCCGATTATGGGATGGAACCACTCGCAACCAGTCGCAACTTGACAATGGCACATACGATAACTTCCGTGACCGTGATCCCCAGTCGATCATGAGGTTGATTGATAATACTTCTTCCATAGCTGTCACTTCATCACCAACCCTCAAGACGTTAATTATTAGTTGAACAATGGCTGAATCATGGTTGATGATGATTGTTAATGAGAATTGTTGTATCAATGTCTTGGTTGTTAATGGTTGATAACAGCTGTCAATTTCTCCAGATGTTCATGTCACTTGAGGGTGATCTTGGACTCACCTTGTCAGCCTGGGAACAGCCCCATGGCCAGGTGCTGATTACAGAGGTGCGCACGGTGCGTGAAGGTTTTGGTGTTTTTTTGACACAAGGCTTTTGGTTCAAACATGCTACCTAAAAGAGCGAAAGGGGTCATTTTATGTCCTGAAAACCCAAATTTCAAACATTTCAAATTCGCCATCAATGGAGGTTTAATAACTTTGAGTCAGTTTGAGACCCCACTTGCTGCCACTACCAAGAGCGATGGGGAGCTCATTTGAATCGACAAGCAATCGATATGGTAACTCTAGTGACTCCTGTGGTTCGACAAGCTGATAAACTCCAAGACATTGCGTGATCCCTGTTGAGACCCCGATTTGTTGGCCCAAGGCCAGGGTGTGTTTTGAACATTGGCAAGCCCAAAATTTGATGGCCTCCTTCATTGGGGATGGGCCAGCGATTTCTGCCAGTTTAAAGTGAGCGACTTCCCCTTCATGGCCAGATCCCTAGACTCAGACTTTTGACTCCACAGCTAGGACAAGTGCCAGCCTCCAAAGTTACTACGCGCTTCCCCAGGGTAAAGACTCGGAGTTCGCCTCAACATCCCCAAAGATCAGATTTGATCAGTTCCAAGATGAAAGGACCGGATAACCCCACAAGGCAACTTCTTCCAATAATGAGCACCAAATGTTGTAGCGGGGACGGGGAACGAAGGAAAGACAAAGGAGGTGGTGGAGGATCGAGAAGTAAAACAAAGTTGTGTGTCACAAAGTTGTGTGTGAAAGATGGTGTGTGACAAAGAAAGATGGTGTGTGTGTGTGACAAAGTTGTGTGTGAAAGATGGCGTGTGAAAAAATTGTGTGTGAAAGAGAGCGTGTGAGAAAGTTGTGTGTGAAAGATGGTGTGTGTCAAAGTGGTGTCTGAAAAATGGTGTGGAGAAAGATGGTGTGTGACAAAGTTGTGTGTGTGTGAAAGATGGTGTGTGACAAAGTTGTGTGTAAAAGATGGCGTGTGTGAAAGAGAGCTTGTGAGAAAGTTGTGTGTGAAAGATGGTGTGTGACAAAGGGGTGTGTGAAGGATGGTGTGGAGAAAGATGGTGTGTGACAAAGTTGTGTGTGTGAAAGATGGTGTGTGACAAAGTTGTGTGTAAAAGATGGCGTGTGTGAAAGAGAGCTTGTGAGAAAGTTGTGTGTGAAAGATGGTGTGTGACAAAGTGGTGTGTGAAGGATGGTGTGGTGCAAGATGGTGTGAGACAAGTGGTGTGTGAAAGATGGTGTGTGAGAGATGGTCTGTGACAGTGTGTGAAAGATGGTGTGTGGTGGAAGATGGTGTAAGACAACGTGGTGTGTGAAAGATGGTGTGTGAGAGATGGTCTGTGACGGTGTGTGAAAGATGGTGTGTGACAAAGTGGTGTGAAAGATGGTGTGTCAAAGATGGTGGGTGACAAAGTGGTGTGTGAAAGCCAGCCCAGTGCCATAAGTGCCACGCCTGGCACGCAAAACGAAGGTGGATGTCACCAAGTGCCACGCCTGCCACTTGGCGTCACCGGCGACCAAGCGCGCCCAAGCGCGCCACCAAGTGCAATAAGTGCCACGCCTGCCACGCAAAACAAAGGTAGATGTCACCAAGTGCCACGCTTGCCACGCAAAACGAAGATAGATGCCGCCAAGTGCCACGCCTGCCGCCCAAAGCACCGCGGAGTCACCGGCGACCAAACGCGCCACCAAGTGCACAATGCCACGCTTGCCATGCAAAACGAGGGTGGATGTCACCAAGTGCCACGCCTGTCACGCGAAACGATGGTGGATGTCGCCAAGTGCCACTCCTGCCACGCAAAGTTGAGCGCCGTCACCGGCAAACCAAGCGCGCCCAAGCGCGCCACCAGAGCCAGCCCAGTGCCACAAGTGCCACGCCTGCCACGCAAAACGAAGGTGGATGTCACGAAGGGCCACGCCTGCCGTGCAAAACGAAGGTGGCTGTCACATGCTGTCACCAAGCGCCACGCCTGCCATGCCAAACCAAGGTAGATGTCGCCAAGTGCCAAGTGCCACGCTTGCCACGCAAAACGAAGATAGATGCCGCCAAGTGCCACGCTTGCCACGCGAAACGAAGATTCTTGTCGCCAAGTGCCACGCATGCCACGCAAAGTTGAGCGGCGTCACCGGCGACCAAGCGCGCCCAAGCGCGCCACCAGAGCCAGCCCGATGCCATAAGTGCCACGCTTGCCACGCGAAACGAAGATAGATGTCGCCCAGTGCCACGCCTGCCACGCAAAACCAAGGAAGATGTCGCCAAGTGCCACGCCTGCCACGCAAAGTTGAGCGGCGTAACCAGCGACCAAGCGCGCCCAAGCGCGCCCAAGCGCGCCACACTGTGCCACCAGAGCCAGCCCAGTGCCATAAGTGCCACGCCTGCCACGCAAAACGAAGGTGGATGTGAGTCTGACTGGCTGGTGGTGCCCGGCTGTTTGTCTTCACTTGTCTCCCTACATTTGTTTCCCAATCTGGCTCATAGTGTCCGGCTCTTCGGATGTCTCCCAGTTCATTTGTCTCCCAGTCTGACTGGCTGGTGGTGCCCGGCTGTTTGTCTTCACTTGTCTCCCTACATTTGTTTCCCAAGTTCATTTGTCTCCCAGTCTTACTGGCTAGTGGTGCCCGGCTGCTTGTCTTCACTTGTCTTCCTACATTTGTTTCCCAATCTGGCTCATGGTGTCCGGCTCTTCGGATGTCTCCCAGTTCATTTGTCCCCCAGTCTGACTGGCTGGTGGTGCCCGGCTGTTTGTCTTCACTTGGCTCCCTACATTTGTTTCCCAATTTGGCTCATGGTGTCCGGCTCTTCGGATGTCTCCCAGTACATTTGTCTCCCAGTCTGACTGGCTGGTGATGCCCGGCAGTTTGTCTTCACTTGTCTCCTTACGTTTGTTTCCCAATCTGGCTCATGGTGTCCGGCTCTTCGGATGTCTCCCAGCTCATTTGTCTCCCAGTCTGACTGGCTGGTGGTGCCCGGCTGTTTGTCTTCACTTGTCTCCCTACATTTGTTTCCCAGTTTGGTGGATGTGTCTCTTCACTTGTGTCCCTTCATTTGTCTCCCGCTCTGTCTAGTGGCATCCGGATCTTCGGATGTCTTTTCTTTGCTTTCACTTGTCTCTCATCAGGTGTCTTTTTCCATGTGTCTCCCATCTTGTTGGTCTCCCAATTAATTTGTCTCCAGTCACGGGTCTGCCTTTGTGGTGGTGTCGGGCTTTATCGCCTTGTCATCATCTGTCTCTCACCATCTGTCTCCTACTTCATTTGTCTCCGATCATATGTCTGCCTTAGTGGCGGTGTCCTGTTCTAGTTTCAGCATGATTTCATTCGTGCTTCGGGGTTGTCTCTGTTGTTTACTCCCTTTGTGTCTTCTTGCTGCCTCAAGATAAAATCATGTTTCACCATTTTTTTGCGTTTTACCACTTCTCTCCCACTTGTCTCCTACCTTGTCTCCCACTTGACTCCTACCTTGTCTCCGTTTCATTGTCTCAGATACAAATGGCATGTGTTGCCTGTGATTCATGCTGTTCTCAAGTGCCATGGATCAACAATTGCCAGCACCAGGAGCTAGTTTAACCATAAACATGCACACAGACGCTGCAATGGATATGGAATAACTTTTGAGCCTACGGGATGCCATTCTTACCAGGTAGTAACCCCCGCACAAGGCTGTGGCGGAGTTCAAAATAGGAAACCTATAGGAGAGAATTGCGTTGTTAAATCAGCAGGGATGGCAGAGCTAATCCACTGTGACTGAAAGGTGCTTGAGTCTCCTCTCTTTCTCTCTCTTTCCTCTGACCCATATCTACTTCCTACCAGCCTATCTTCTATTATCTATTCTATCTGTCTATCTATCTATCTATCTATCTATCTCTCTCTCTCTCTCTCCTCTCTCTTCGATCTGTCTCATCTGTCTAGCTGTCTAAGCTTTCTATCTATCGTCCTGTCTGTCTTTTTCTATCTGTCTATCTGTCACCTTTCTATCTTGGTGCATTGTTATTCAGTGTAGTAGTGTAGTGTGTGTAATGTAGTGTATGTTTAGTGGAGTGCAGTGGAATGTCGGGTAGTGTATGTCAGTGTCATGTAGTGTAATGTAGTGTAATTTCGTGTAAGTGGATTGTATTGGATGGGTAATTTGTGTATTCGTAGTTGTAGTTGTAGTGTATGGAGTGTAGTGTAGTTTAATGTATGAAGTGTCGTGGAGGTAGTGTAGTGCAATGTATGTGTAAGTGTAAATGGATTGTAGTGTAGCGTCATGTAGTGTAGTGTAGTGGTAATTTAGGTGTGGGTGGAGTTGTAAGTGGAGTGGGTTTGTAAGTGAGTGTAAGTTGTGTAGTTTGTAGTTGTAGTGTTGTGTAATGTAGTGTACTGTAGTGGAGTGTAGCGTAGTGGAGTATAGTGTAGTGTAATGTACTGTAGTGTAGAGAAACGAAGCGACATCTGAACCTCCAAAAGTGGTCCGAACCCCTGGTGTTTTTAACATTTTGACTTCGAAATGTGCTTCGCGCCACAACGGCGTGCACTTTTTCGACATCTGAACCTCCAAAAGTGGTCCGAACCCCTAGTGTTTTGTACATTTTGACTTCGAAATGTGCTTCGCGCCACAACGGCGTGTACTTTTTCGACATCGCAACTTCCAAAAGTGGTCCGACCATGTACATTTTCACTTGGAAATGTGCTTCGCGCCACAACGGCGTGCACTTTTTCGACATCGCAACTTCCAAAAGTGGTCTGAACGTGGTGTGTTTTGTACATTTTGACTTCGAAATGTGCTTCGCGCCACAACGGCGTGCACTTTTTCGACATCGCAACTTCCAAAAGTGGTCCGACCATGGTGTGCTTTGTACATTTTGACTTCGAAATGTGCTTCGCGCCACAACGGCGTGCACTTTTTCGACATCGCAACTTCCAAAAGTGGTCCGACCATGGTGTGCTTTGTACATTTTGACTTCGAAATGTGCTTCGCGCCACAACGGCGTGCAATTTTTCATCACTCATCTGGCCAGCTGGCTCCGCACCCGCCGCTTTAGCGAGCCTACTTTCGACCCTCCGGAGCCACAAATCATTGGAAAAACACAGTGTTTCGCGATCCTTTTCGCGCATCTGCATCTTCTTTCTTCTTACTCTTTCTCTTCTACTCTTCTTTCTTCTAATCTTCCTCTTCTCTCTGCCTCTTCCCTGCTCCGCTTTTCATCTGTCCATATTGTCGGAAGTTTGACTTCTAAACTTCCTTCGACAAATCAAAATAACTGTCTGACGCCATGCGCGTAGGACTTCTGACTTCAAAGGGCCAATTCTGTGACAAGTTAGACAAGAAAAAGCGGACGTCTCAATTTGTGAAAATTCAGTTGACAAATGAATGGCCCGATGACACTCTTCAACATCAGCGCTGGTCATGTGAGTCTATGGGTGCAATTTTTGTAAGAGCTGGAGACTCCAAGAACTGCTGGTCGTAGAAGGACAAAGCCATGGTTCGGGGGCATCCTTTGGTTGTGGAACACCCATTGAACATGGCTGCTTTCAGTGGGAAATGCCAATGGCATAGGGACATCTTTTTGAAAATGCCTACATTTGCAGAGCGGGATATGATTCTGTTTTCGTTGACTTGGCCGATGGAAGCTGTTTTGCCTCAAGGAAAACTGGCCAATAGGAGGTAGCAGGCGTTCTCGTCGTATTCTTGAATGGCAAACATAATGGCAGCTCTTGCAATGATCATGATGATGTTGCAGATGCATCTGGTGTCCTCTCAGGACCCCAGTTTTTCCGTGGTCCAAGCAAAACAACCGACAATGATTGAATGAGGTCAAACTCTCAGGCTATCATGAAGTCGATAGGTCCAAGAAATTCTGGGTCTGACCGCAGAAAGTTCATGTTTTATGGGGCAACTGAAGCACCTGAAACACAATCCTTTAGTGACGAAAGAAATTGTTTGTCCATGCCGACCCTTGAAATCAACTAATTTTGAACTTTGGACCCAAATTTGTGAACCTATGGTAAGGAGCCATCAGGGCCTACTTGGGACCCTGGAGCCCCATCTAAAAAGGCAGTTGAACTCACCAACGAGTCGCCGGGTCAGGACCTACCTGACAGTTGCGATGGCAACCCTAACAGTTGCGAGGAAATCGCAGCCCTTCAGCTTTCCTCTCAGAAGCAACCAGATGAAGACAAGTGCGACTGGAAACTTGGAGGTACAGATCCCAAAGGCATGGCTTGGGCTTGGTGGACTTAGTTTGCCGTAGCATGTCTATTTTCCTCGTGGATTCACATCCTATGACCCTGAACGACGGTCCATTCCAGTGTTCGTCACGGGTTCGGTTTGTACTTGCCGAGTTCTGTAATCATCCGCAGGCATTTGGCAGGCATTTTCCTGTGGCAAAGAAAGTTCGACCTTTGAACATAGTAACATTGTGATTTGTTGCCAGGAACCACCTGCTTTGTTGTGGTTTGTCGATTTTGTGCAGGAGCGAGCTGCGAGACCATCTGCGACGATGTTGGAAAAGTCTGCGACCCTGGAGAGCAGAAGGGTCTGACAGAAGAGGAAATGAAGGATCTAATTGAAGGTTTTGACCTGGAGTGCGATGACGATGAGGCCCCGGAGTCAACTGACCTCCGGACGCCATATATCTTCACAAATACAAGCCAATGTCGCCGTGCCGCCGCCACCGCCACCTCCGCTTGTGCACTTGGCGATAATGAGAATGTTAATCTCAGGAGGTTGTGCTGCTGCGTCTTGCCACCAGCACAGGTGGAGAATGATCCCCACGTCCATACCTTGAAAGGTGCGCACTACACGCTCTTGAAGAGTGGCAACTTCTTGGCATGGAGTTTCTCTAAGGATCCAGTGGAGTGGCACCTGTTGGCCGCTTACTCCGGTGCTAGACTCTTGGCTGTTTTGGCCCGGCTATCTACGTGAGTCATTCAAAAAAAGTCGAAAAATGTGCAAAACGGGCAGTTCGAAACAAACCCTGTTCGAGACACGCGCACACACACACGTATTTGATTGAAATGCATCCAGGTAATGTATTTGTAGGAGCACGTGTGCGGGTGCATATGGTTCATATTGGTGCTAGTTTTCTTGCTTCAGTTGATGCAGATCCTAGGATCGCGGTTCACCACTCAGTCGCTTTTGCTTCTGGAAAAGCAGAGTGGACAGACTTTGGAGATGACAGCAGAAGACTGTGTGTGGCAGACGAAAACGGAGAATGGATGGCGCAAAGTGCAGCCCGAGTTGCTGCTCCAGGGTGCTGCGAGCGTGGATGCTTGGCAAAAACAGCAAAAACAATGTTTCACACATGCAGACATGGGAGCCCTAACATGTTGTTTTGATGCCCAAAAGTACTTGTTTGAAGTTTTTTTTAAGTCTTTTTTTTGTTGGGCATGTTTGGACATGTCCAACGGAAAAAACAAGCAACATTGGACACACAACATGTATCATTCCTGTCACATCACCGCCACATCATCGTCACCTTGCCCAGGACGTCCAAGAAGTTGATAAGCACACCCGCGATCCTCTGAATTTGGAGTCGGTGATGGTTTTGCAAATGTCGGAGCCAGAGAAATCAGGCGTGCGGAAGGTGGCTAGGCTTCTGACCCACTGCAGCCCCAGTAAGTATTTGAACTTCAAGGTGAAGATGTTTGATACGAAGGATTTGGACTATGTGGGAGGAGAGCTTGGAAGTGCACCACGCAACCAGAGCCACTTGAGCCTCTTGTCGGCCAAACTCAGCTCCATGGTGATGCGAACGGATACCGAGTTCCAGGCAAAGCTTGGGACCTGGGATGCAAAAAACGTTCGACCTGAAACTCAACCAGTTGGTGTTGCCGGATCCCACATGGAACTTTCCGCATTGTTTTAAGATGTTTTAACGTGTGGGAGAATGGTTTCAGAGTTGCACTGATGGAAACAAGTGGAAACACCTCAATTTGCCGGATTTGCTTAGTGGCTTAGTGATCCGGGATAGTCGAGGGTGGCAGCGGCAGCGAGATTTGTAGTGCTAGAGTCAGCACGATGATGGTTTGGATAACTTTAAACAAGAGAGCAAGAAATACTTTCCTATGACGCAAAGAGGATCAACAAATTTGAGCTATAATTCAGAAATCTGTAAGTAGGAACACAGATCCAAAACAGAAGTGAACAGTAACAGTTGCAAGTCGAGGACTAGAACGGAGTTTTTTGGTACCCTGACCATCACTGACATGTTCTTCCACCGGTTGGTATCTTAGTATCAGTATTGCTTAGATCTTCATGACGAAATTGGCAACATGACAGCAGGTTGCAATGTCCTTGACAACTGACAGGTTAGCAGCTGGGCTTCATTGGGCGGCAGTGAGGCTGCAGCAGACTTCTTGAAGTTGAAGCAAGAGGCTGAAATGGCTTTGATCAGCACCGAGACGACCCAGACCTGCACGGAAGCCAAAGAGCAAGAAGCGGACACCTGGAATGCCATTGGCATTGGCACATCTAAGTGTGGAAAATCTGGACCCTTCAAACTCTACAAACTCTGCAATCTGTACATGTCAAAAGGAACTCTCAGAATTCCCTATAACCCTCCAACAGAATGTCTCTGTACGATTTAATTCGACGTCACGACGTCACCCCCGAATTAACGAGGCAGAATTTTGAAATTAAGGGGATATGTACATAAGTATCTAACCCTCTGCCTGTACCCGATCCTGCTAGCTCGCGAAGCGCATTGTTGATAACGAGTTCTTGATTGAGGCGCGAACGGGTGAGAGAGAGGGGAGAGTCGAAAAGGATGTTGGAAGAAGAGTTGAAAGTGCTTGGAGTTGCTGAAAGGGCAGTGAAAAGAATCACATGCACACTACAATGTGGTTCTTCGGCATGGCTTTCCGGTTTCCGATTCTTTTCTATCTTGGAGGGTCTGGTGGGAACACGGGCCAAACAAGCTTAAGGATGATGAAGAAAGGAAGACGGTCCTATGTCTTCAAAATAGGAACAGTGCGATCTACGGCGCGATTCTGGGTTATACCGGGGTTTTGGCCGCGCTGGGCTCTGTCGTGGCCGGAATCCTTCATAACTGTTCCGGCTACGCTGGTTTTTGGCCTTGGTTGCTTGCAGCGGCGCCGCCGCGCAGACGCAAAATGACACGCCGCCACTCCCGGGAAAACGCAAAAATGCGCGTAGATCTTTGCTTTTTGAGCCCGGGCGCGCCGGGCAGAGCAGTGCCAGCGCACCTTGGAGAGGCCCTGGGCCCAGGACCGCCGGCTAGATCCGGCGGCCATGGCTCGTCGGCTTATCCAGCGGCCTAAAGTTCTGAGCCCAAGGCTCGATTCTCCCCGGGCGCGCCCTTCACAGGCTTGGGCTTGGCGATTTTTTTTTGCTTGAAGGAAGCGAGTCATCACACGGTTAGTGCAGCAAGTCACGCTCATTGTTATGCTTAGCCTTCTTTTTAGATTTTGATGTTTTCTATCCTTGCTATCAATTGCCAAGCAAGTGATGCGGCTCAGCTCTGCAGCTCATAAGTTGCTGTTCCAGCTACGCTGAAGTTTTGTCTTGGTTGCTTGCTGCGGAGCTGCTGCACCTCCAAAACGCAAAACATGCGTGGATGAGCTCTCTTTTGCCTTCTACCTGGCAGGCCTCGCGTTGGGCTCTGTCATGGTCGGAATCGGAGATAGCTGTTCCGCGGCTACGCTGGTTTCCGGCTACGCTGGTTTCCGGCCTTGGTTGCTTGCGGCGGGGGCGCCGCGCCAGGCAAACGCAAAAATGCGCGTAGATCGACGATCTACGCGCGATTTTGCGTTATATCGGGGGGTTGGCCGCGCCGGGCTCTGCCGTGGCCGGAATCTGAGATAGCTGTTCCGGCTACGCTGGTTTCTGGCATTCGTTGCTTTTTGCGAGCCTGCTGCAGTGTGTGTGATGATGAGCGATCCCCTGAGACAACCCCACGTGATCTCTACCTAGATATTGTTTGTCTGTATATATATAATATGGAGCCGAAAATGGGATCATGATACTGAGGGATAGATTTATGTACATACTGTTTGGACATATACATATGCATGTTTCTATTTACACAATCACAGATATATTTTGTCCACCCAACAAACACCGACCCTCAAAACCGCTCATCCGTTTTATGTCACTAGTTAAGAGATCCATATGTGTGCTGCCAGGCTAGCGTGTTCAACGACCTCAACCTGGGCAACGATGTCACGCTAATTTCGTTTTTCAGACGACCTCACTTAATTTCATTTTATATTATTCAAAATAAGTTATACGACCCAAGAAATATTGTAAGTTGGTCAGGGTCAATGTCTATAGTGTCAAGTCATGTCAAGTCTATGTTTAAGTTGACAGGCCACTCGGACAGGGAAAATCAGCTAATGAGAACCCGATAATCACATCCTGTTGTGATCTCCAGTGACCCACTGGATTCAAGTCGTCCAAGGAGAAGATTTGTGCCAAACACCTCCCAAAAGATGACGATCACGCAGAAGTTTTCATCGACTGCGTCTACGATGTCTGCCATGGAGGTGGAGAAGAAGATGCCCTGAGTGCCGCTGCATTCATCTCTGTCTAGGTCTGACCTCATGTCAGATGGGCCGTTTCAACTCTGTTTTGAATTCCGTTTTGAAAACAGAGCTAGCTAGGCCAGTCGGAGCTTTGATTTTGTTTTCAACGCTGCCCCGTGGGCTTATATTATATCATGTTCCAGATTGATCAGATTGCGAGCACACGCCTCCAAAAGCGGAGCCGCCCGCCAGCTGCGTCACCGTTGTTTGCGCAGGGTTGCTGACCATACTCGAAAGACTTCTAGTATAGAACATAGTAGAACCTTTTAGAACCATCAGTTGAGAGGAGAGTTGAGCAGTGTCACACTCTCATGCCTTGTTCATTTTTCTTTCGTCATGTCCTTTTCGATGTTGTCCGTTATTGTCCCATGAACCGGGTATGTGGGCGTTACCACTCTGGATTCCTCCTGTGTCCGAGCTCTTCCCTCAAGTGATCTGTGGGTTTCCAATGGTTTCCAGACTTTGGCAGCACAAGGACGGCACTCATAGCAAACGAACATTGGCAATCGACCAAGCCTGCCACCTTGAACAGGCGATCCGTCCCAGTGATATGTAATCGAAGGAAGTTTAGAAGTCAAACTTCCGACAATATGGACAGATGAAGAGCAGAGCAGGGAAGAGGCAGAGAGAAGAGAAAGATTAGAAGAAAGAAGAGTAAGAAGAAAGAAGATGCAGATGCGTGAAAAGGTAGGAAAGTCGCGAAACACTGTGTTTTTCCAATGATTTGGGGCTCCGGAGGGTCCAAAAGTAGGCTCGCTAAAGCGGCGGGTGCGGAGCCAGCTGGCCAGATGAGAGATGAAAAATTGCGCGCCGTTGTGGCGCGAAGCACATTTCCAAGTCAAAATGTACAAAACACACCAGGTTCGGACCACTTTTGGCAGTTGAGATGTCGAAAAAGTGCACGCCGTTGTGGCGCGAAGCACATTTCGAAGTCAACATGTACAAAACACACCATGGTCGGACCACCTTTGGCAGTTGAGATGTGGAAGAAGTGCACGCCGTTGTGGCGCGAAGCACATTTGGAAGTCAAAATGTTAAAAACACTAGGGGTTCGGACCACTTTTGGAAGTTCAGATCTCGAGAAAGTGCACGCCGTTGTGGCGCGAAGCACATTTGAAGTCAAAATGTTAAAGACACCAGGGGTTCGGACCACTTTTGGAGGTTCGGATGTCGAAAAAGTGCATGCCGTTGTGGCGCGAAGGACATTTCGAAGTCAAAATGTTCAAACCACTAGGGGTTCGGACCACTTTTGGAGGTTCAGATGTCGCTTCGCCTCACTACATTACACTACAGTACACTACACTCCACTACACTACACTACAGGACATTACGCTACAGTACACTCCAGTACACTACATTACACTACGCTACACTCCAGTACACTCCACTACACTAAATTACACTACACCACACTACATTACACTGAATGACACTGCACCACAGGCAGACAGATAGATAGATAGATAGATAGATGATTGATAGATAGATAGATAGATGGATGGATGGATGGATCGATCGATAGATAGATAGATAGATGACTAGACAGACAGACAGACAGATAGATAGATAGATCGATCGATCGATCGATCGATACATAGATAGGGAGATAGATAGATAGATAGATAGATAGGGAGATAGGTAGGTAATTAGATGAAAGAGAGAGAGAGAGAGAGGCCAGCTGGGTAGATGAGAGAGATAGACAGATAGATAGATAGATAGATAGATAGACAGATAGATAGATAGATAGGTAGATAGATAGATAGATAGGGAGATAGATGGCTAGACAGATAGATAGATAGATAGATAGATGGATAGATAGATAGATAGATAGGTAGATAGATGGCTAGACAGATAAATAGATAGATAGATAGATAGATAGACAGATAGATAGATAGATAGGGAGATAGATAGGTAGATAGATAGATAGATAGGGAGATAGATAGACAGACAGACACATAGATAGGTAGACAGATAGATCAGTAGGTAGGTCGGTAGATAATCAGAGCAAGATAGAGAAACAGAGAGAAAAAGAGAGAAAGAGAGAGAAAGAGTGAAAGACCTCAATCACCTTTCAGTCCATCAGTGGCTTCGCTCTGCCATCCCTGATTCACAACAACCAACCTCTCCTATAGGTTTCCTGTTTTTGAAACTTCCGCCACCGCCTTGTGCGGTACTACTGGTACAGGAAGATACGGTATACAAGCATCAGGAGTTGAACTAGACCAAGTTCAACTTGACTTGCCTTGCTTCAGTGCCTATGTTCAAGAATCTGTGTCAGCTGACGGCACTAAACTTTTCTGCAAGTTACTCGTCGAATCAGATGCCTTCCGGCATATGACGGGTCATAAGCAGCCCATCATGATCCGTTTTGATTGCAGAGACCGCATTTCTTGTACCTTTCATGTATCCTGCCCTTACGAACCTTGGCTGTGGACCCTAACTCAGGTCACATCTCAAAGGGTTCTGGATGCAAAGGGAGCCAAAAGAAAGAGACAGGCCGATCCGGGCAAAGCGGAAGAGCCCGCGGACAAGAAAGAGCGCAAGACGAACACTCTGCAGGCATCCTCTCCAGGGGTGAGGCTCGTTGCAAGGAACCAGAGACCGTCCAGGTCCCCCTTGAAGAGAAAGCAGAGGCCCAAGTGCCACGCCTGCGTTGGTGTGTGAAAGATGGTGTGTGTGACAAAGATGTGTGTGGATGTGTGTGTGTGTGTGTTTGTGTGTGTGTGGGTGTGTGGGTGTGTGGGTGCGTGCGTGCGTGCGTGCGTGCGTGCGTGCGTGCGTGCGTGCGTGCGTGGCGTTGGCGTGCGTGCGTGAGGCGTGCGGAGTGGGAGGGTGGGTGGGTGGGTGGGTGGGCGTGGTGTGTGTTTGTGTGTGTGTGTTTGTGTGTGTGTGGGAAAGATGGTGTTGTGTGCAAGATGGTGGTGTGTGAAAGATGGTGTGTGTGTGAAAGATGGGGGGTGGGGGTGATGGGGTTTGAAAAGATGGGAGTGTGGTGTGTGAAGCATGGTGTGTGGTAGTGTGAAAGATGTGTGTGTGTGTGTGTGTGAAAGATGGTGTGTGTGTGTGTGAAAGATGGTGTGTGTGTGTGTGAAAGATGGTGTGTGTGAAAGATGGTGTGTGTGTGTGAAAGATGGTGTGTGTGAAAGATGGTGTGTGTGTGTGTGAAAGATGGTGTGTGACAAAGTTGTATGTGACAAAGTTGTATGTGACAAAGTTGTATGTGAAAGAGGGTGTGTGTGACAAAGTTGCGTGTGAAAGATAGTGTGTGACAAAGCTGTGTGTGTGAAAGATAGTGTGTGACAAAGCTGTGTGTGTGAAAGATGGTGTGTGACAAAGCTGTGTGTGTGAAAGATAGTGTGTGACAAAGCTGTGTGTGTGAAAGATAGTGTGTGACAAAGCTGTGTGTGTGAAAGATAGTGTGTGACAAAGCTGTGTGTGAAAGATAGTGTGTGACAAAGCTGTGTGTGAAAGATAGTGTGTGACAAAGTTGTGTGTGAAAGATGGTGTGTGACAACAAAAGTGTGTCTGTGTGAAAAAAACAAAAAAAAGATAGTGTGTGAACAAAGTTGTGTGTGAAAGATAGTGTTGACAAAGCTGGTGTGAAAGAAGATAGTGCGTGACAAAGTTGGGTGTGAAAGATAGTGTGTGACAAAGTTGTGTGCGAAAACTATGTGTGTGACAAAGTTGTGTGTGAAAGATAGTGTGTGACAAAGTTGCGTGCGAAAACTATGTGTGTGACAAAGTTGTGTGTGAAAGATAGTGTGTGACAAAGTTGTGTGCGAAAACTATGTGTGTGACAAAGTTGTGTGTGAAAGATAGTGTGTGACAAAGTTGCGTGCGAAAACTATGTGTGTGACAAAGTTGTGTGTGAAAGATAGTGTGTGACAAAGTTGTGTGCGAAAACTATGTGTGTGACAAAGTTGTGTGTGAAAGATAGTGTGTGACAAAGTTGTGTGTGAAAGATAGTGTGTGACAAAGCTGTGTGTGAAAGACAGTGTGTGACAAAACTGTGTGCGAAAACTATGTGTGTGACAAAGTTGCGTGCGAAAACTATGTGTGTGACAAAGTTGTGTGTGAAAGATAGTGTGTGACAAAGCTGTGTGTGAAAGATAGTGTGTGACAAAGTTGTGTGTGAAAGATGGTGTGTGACAAAGTTGTGTGTGAAAGATAGTGTGTGACAAAGCTGTGTGTGAAAGACAGTGTGTGACAAAACTGTGTGTGAAAGATAGTATGTGACAAAGTTGCGTGCGAAAACTATGTGTGTGACAAAGTTGTGTGTGAAAGATAGTGTGTGACAAAGTTGTGTGTGAAAGATGGTGTGTGACAAAGCTGTGTGTGAAAGATAGTGTGTGACAAAGTTGTGTGTGAAAGATAGTGTGTGACAAAGCTGTGTGTGAAAGATAGTGCGTGACAAAGTTGTGTGTGAAAGATAGTGTGTGACAAAGCTGTGTGTGAAAGATAGTGCGTGACAAAGTTGTGTGTGAAAGATAGTGTGTGACAAAGCTGTGTGTGAAAGATAGTGCGTGACAAAGTTGTGTGTGAAAGATAGTGTGTGACAAAGCTGTGTGTGAAAGATAGTGCGTGACAAAGTTGTGTGTGAAAGATAGTGTGTGACAAAGTTGTGTGCGAAAACTATGTGTGTGACAAAGTTGTGTGTGAAAGATAGTGTGTGACAAAGTTGTGTGTGAAAGAGGGTGTGTGACAAAGTTGTATGTGAAAGAGGGTGTGTGTGACAAAGTTGTGTGCGAAAACTATGTGTGTGACAAAGTTGTGTGTGAAAGAGGGTGTGTGTGACGCAGAGGTGGCGGAGGAGGCGGAGGAGGCGTTTCGGACGAGGCGGCGGGATACAGAACTTCCCAAACATCTCCAAGATGAACCAAAAAAACGCCCGGAAAATCCCGAAAAATCGCAGCCAAGGAATGGATGCTGGCCGAGGAAGCTGAGGTGGCCAGTTTTTCCATGGTGAGCTCAGCACCCAGCGAGGTAGGGAATCCCATGATTTCATGATGATTTCCATGGGTTTTTGAAGGTCGGTGTAATTGGTGTCCAGTTTGATGTTTCTGTTTAACCATGGTGTACTGAAAAAACACAATCTTACACACATGGTGTACTGAAAATGGGGTACTGAAAACATGGTGTACTGAAAATCACATGTTTTAACATGTTTTAACCATTCGTTTCTCGCCGAAACCGGTCCAAAGAATTGGATGGACGAATGGCATGCAGGATAAGAAGGGATGGAGTGAACATCTGCCAGATACAGGTCTTGAATCTCCAAAGCCACTAGCAGTCACTAGCAAAGTTCAGGTGACCCTGTTGATTGAGTTGGTCCACTTGATCTCACATACCACTTGTTTGGATAAACATCAGTTTGAAACCGTTTGGTGGTTTCACTTTTCTCACTTTTCACCCTTGACTCCGGAACCCCAAACTGGCCAAGAATTGTGGGATGGCACACATCAACCACTATGGCCCTATGGACAACGGGAATCTGCCGATAATCCCAACAGCAAACAGCAGAGGTGTGGCATGAGTCACCTGAGCAACTGAGGCACCTGAATTGCTCCATGTGTCTTCTACCGCTGCCGCTACCTTTTCTGCTGAGCATTTGATGCACGAACACGTGCTGCCTACACACATGGAGGTGCTTATAAACATGCTGCCGGGGGGTTTGCCAGGGTTTTTCACCCCTAGAGATGCATGCAAAAAGATCGGGATGTTCCAAGGCAACTTTGCGGGGTGCCAAGGCACTGCAACTTGATTCAGAATCCCGTTCATTCAAGTCATCCAAGGATTGAAACTGGTTCAAAAAGCCCCGGGTGTCATCAAACGTAGCAATGGGAATTCCCGAATTCGCCATAGATTTTCCATGGAGGTGTTGTTCGCTTGGAAACTCATCGAAGGTGAAAAGTGGAGATTTTCCCATGCCAGGTGACCTATCCTGAAGATTTGGAGGGCAAAGATGGCTATGTTTCCCTGGGATCCGTTCACGGTTGTGGAGCCTGGGTGTCAAGACTGCAGTCATCGGCGGTTTTTTTCCTGGCTGGGAACATGTTGGAACCCTGGTTTCAAGAGAATCACTGTATTCTTTATCTTGAGCTTGAAATCAGTGATAAAGAATGCCATGATAAATCTCCATGATGATGTTTAATGATGTTTCATGATGTTTCTTTATCATGATGTTGTTTAATGATGTTTCATGATAATTTGATATAATTTGTAATGATGATCCCATTTAATGATGATTGGAAAACACATACAACAAATCCGTGGTTTTTAAAGTGGAATGATGACCTCATTTGACGATCTTCAGCTCAACCACTCAGATCGATCCACGATTTGTGGGATTTCAAGGGGAAGTGAATCCAAACACGTCGAAGGAAAAAATACGACTAAGACCTCGGGAAAAAAACTCTTGGAATTCAGGAAAATGCATCAAAAGCTTAGTTGTTCCCAGACTATTTTGGGATGAACATCCAGAAATTTTAGCCATTTCGGTACCAGAGATTTGACTCACCCACATCTCATCTGGGAATACTCAGGTGGTTCAGATCATCTTAAAGAACGATGGCCCGGTGCCGTGGCCACAGGACCTGAGAAAAATCCTGATCACCAAAAACGGACAAAAAAAGCGGATGAAGCTTACTGGAACCTCTGCAGATTCGATATCCATTGATATCCATTGATCATCTTGATGATCATCTTGATATATCTTGAAGCTTATGGAGATTTTATGACTTTGCGGAGGTCTAAAGAGATCTGCAGAGCCTCTCGGCAGGACAGTGCGCTGACCTGTTGCTTTGGCAGTGGCTTTGGCTGTCCGCGCTTGCCCATGGACAGTGTTCAGCCCGGAGAGGCAGCAAAAAACGCCTGGGATCGCCAGCAAAGAAATCGTTCAATCGTTCACATCCAGCTGGTCCAGCGTTCGAAACGCAGCATTTCCCATATCATCCATGGTGCTGGTATATATGCTAACATTGGGGGTACCATCTGGTTATTTAACATAGCCATGGAAAATCACCATTTCTAAGTTCGGTAAACCATCTATAAATCAATGGGCCATCGAAAAACCATGGCTATGTTAGTCATAACCAGAGGGTATATTGATGATATCCATGTTACCATATATAGCATATATACATGGATCCGTCAGGCTTTCTGGAACTTCACCATTGATTTATCGGATTTCCCCGTCTCTCGCAGCCCCATGTTTCATGGTGAAGCAACCCACCCACCATCCGAACAGTTGCTCCAAGCTCGCCATCTTCCCATGGCTTAAAAATGGGCTCACCAGGGAGTATGCCTCACCATGGAGTTGGAGGTGAAGGTGCGATGTCTGAAAATATAGTGCCCTTGTTGGTACCCCATTGGAATTCCATTGGAATTCCATTGGAGAATGATCATTTTCGCTGTGAAAATATGGCCGTTGAGAGGGTATAAACCATTTTCAGACACAGACATTATATATAAATATAATTATATGTACAAGTAACAAAAACAACTGGAACATGTTTGTAATCTGAAGAAATTAATATAATAGAGGTATGGAGAGAGCTACGACTCACTATGATCATCATTGTCCATGATCACTTTGGTAATTTGTCACGTAGCTACGGGCAATGAATCACAATTTTGAACTGGTTGGTGGTTTGGAACGTTTTTTATTTTCCATAATATATGGGATAATCCTTCCCATTGACTAATAGTATTTTTCAAAATTGTTAAAACCACCAACCAGTGAATCGTTCGTGCTTTTCCCAATGCAGTGGTGTTTCGCTGGGGCATCAAACCTTGCCTAGCAATTGGTCTGGTTGACCTGCTCACGTGCGGTAAACCATCAAACATCATCAAACTAAATGAGCCATGTTCCATAGCAATCTTAAATTACTGGATGGTTTTCTTTAACGAAAATAGATGAAAATAGGATCATGATCTTAAGGCGTTTTCAGAAGCTGTTCGTAGATACTCATCAATCTTTGATCGCCTGAGAGATGCAGGTGATACAAACCAGCTATTTTTTTTGGTACACCTTGATTGATGATACCTGCATAGTCTCATTGGTTTATACAATCATTTAGAGGTGTCCAATCCACGGAGATTTGAATGAAATTTTCCATGAAATAAACCATCTGGTTGTGACTAACCTAGCCATGGATTTTCGATGGCCCATAGAAATAGATGGTTTACCTGGGTTTACCTATTAAAACTGGTGATTTTCCATGGCGAACTGTTAGTCATAACCAGATGGTAAACCATCCAGTGATCTATTGGGGTACACAGGATGGGCCCAGCATGTCTGGCTGGGTGCTGAGTAGCGGAGACACCGTCTTCGGTCCCGTCTTCTTAGCTCAGGTTCGGTGGAATTTTCGAGGTTTTTTTTGGAGGAATGGTCGGAATGGCTGAACTTTTTGGAACCAGTTTGTGATAAATGTTGTTGATCTTTTATCGATGTTTTTTTGGATGACTCTTGGTAAATTCCAGCTGAATTGTGATGAATCATGGAGGTATCGTGCTAGATGTTGGAAAAAAATCCTTCAGATTTTAGGCCAAACGGACAAACCTTGGAACTCCGACCCCTCCGCATCCTCCCATGTTGCGGCCCCATCGGCTGAACATTTGGCAGGTGTCCTGATGCCGCATGAAGCCGCAGTCTAGGACTTGATTTCACACCGAGAGACAGGGCACGATCTGACTGGAGATGTCGTGGGTATGGTTCAAAAGGTACCAATGACTCATACATTGGATCATTTTGAAGATTTTTTTAGTGGGAACTATAGATTTTGGATGATTTTGGATGATTTTGGTTTATCTTGGATGATTTTGGATGATTTTAGGAGTTGGCAGTAGAATTTTGAGCCATAGCCATGTGATTTTTCTACATCTGATCCATCAACTTTCCTTATATAGATTCAGTGATTGTACATCTTGAGAATGTTGAGAATGTTAGTCATTTTCCCATTACAAATGGTGATTTTCCCGTTAGTCATCAACAGAACCACATTGATGTGTTGACGCTGGAATGGATGCGCTGTCCTCGGGTCGGGAGATGGGGGGAAATCGCTGAGAAAAGAGCGGAAAGCGGTTCCCAACTGGAGGGTCGCAGGGCGGTGAAGAAGTACCCCAGGGCCCAGGGCCAACCCTCTTGCTGGGGGAGTTTGATGGATTAAGATGGTTTACTCTCTGGTAAAAAACATACAAAAAACTATGGAGAATCACAATTTTTAATGGGGAAATCAACTATTTCGACTGGGCCACTTTCAATGGTAAAATCCATGACTTTGCGGAGGTTTTACCGTGATCTGATTGCCGCGTGGCTCATGTGCCCGTTTTCACCGGAAACGTATAACCTTCCAAATCCCATATCATACATGGTGCTGGTATATTAATGCTAACATTCATAGGGGGTATTTCTTGATGGGATCCATGGCACAGCATATTTCTAGCAGCACCGTTAGGATCCTATATGGGAATGGATCCAAATGGCCCAATTTCCATATAGAGAACATGATTATCAACCAGTGAACTGTTGGAGGGGCTTGTCTCAATTGTCAAACAACATTTGAAGCCACCATTTTACTGGAAACCTGGAAACCTATAAGAATTGAAGCGACATTTAGTTGGAAAACCCATGTTTTTTTAGCCAGAACTTTTCTGGAAATCTAAAAAACTATCACAATTTGAAGCCCCAAAAAATTGTGGGTTCATCATTGGATTAAGAATTGAAGCCCCAAAAAATCCATCATTTCTTCAGCTCATAGACTTTCAAAGCCGCCTTTCGTGGAGGTTTCTGGAGCCCAAGGGCCTGGCTCCTGCTTCACTCCCCATCCTCACGGAGTTCCTCGGCCCATGGGAATGATGTCAATGGGTCAGCCAGGGTCAACCGGGGTCGAACCAATCAAAAAACGAGTTTTTTTTGGGGGGGGGATTTTATGATTCTATTACCCATAGGATCCATGTATGGTATATATGCTAACATTTGGGGTATATTGATGGTAAATGTTACCATATATGGCATACATGGATCCTATGGGTATGATTCTATGATGCTAAATGGATGTAAATGGTAAATCATGGTAAACCCCAAGAACCCACATGTTGCTCATTCTGGCAGTGTTCTTGTGACGGACGTGAGGAGTAAGTAAAGCAGCATTGGGGGAACTGACCCACCATGTGAAACGAGACAAAAAGTATCAAAAAGTGGGGTGCCAAGAAAGATTACCCTCTGGTTATGACTAACATAGCCATGGTTTTTCGATGGCCCATAGAAATAGATGGTTTACCTAGTTTACCTATTAAAACTGGTGATTTTCCATGACGAAGTGTTAGTCATAACCAGATGGTACCCTCCATCAACCATGGTAATGGACCATCTAAGAATCCGTGGATCACCCAGCTTGCCATGTTTCATGACATCGGAGGGAGTTGACACTGGGCATGACATGCCATTCTCCAACATGGCATGCCGTTTTTTGTCAGACTTTGGGATATCCTGGCTACCAATGCTACCATGGGATGAGGGCATGGTTTCCGTGATTTCTGTGGGTTCCACCAGACGGGTTTCAGCTAGGGAAACAGCTAGGGAAACAGCCAGGGTCAATGGTGGATTCTTGAGGGTAACCCACAGCTCGAGGTTCCTGAGACTGCAGCTCAAAACAGCTCGATGCCTAGGAGTGAAGGCCTCAGGATGAATTTCGTCGCCATAGGGCAGGACCTGCCATAGGACCAGTGGATATCCTGGTAACCTCCTGGTAGACTCTGTTGCTGGGAGATGTAAAGCAAGGGCTTAAACGAGTTTGTTTTCTTTAAGGCTTATGAGATCATCATCATTTTCACATGTGTCCTTATTAACAGGGTACCCTATAGATTTAGTGATTTTGATTTCATCATGTTCCAACTGCGGCTACAGGCCTGGGCCCCCATCCCCCCATCAGTTGCTTCTAAGGATATGGCCCGTGTGGCCCAAAGCCATGCGGCTGTGGCCAGAAGCATACAACGCGAGCAGCCCATGCACGTCTGGGCCCGGAGTATTGCAGCACAGCATGGCTAGATGAAGGTACTGGATGCCCCAAGTTATAACATGTTATAACCTAACCAATAGCTGGTTTTTATGTATAATATATTGATATATTGATATTATATAATGATATAATATTATAAAACTTGGATAATAGATTCATGATGGCCATTTTATGATATAGACAATCATATATTGGATGCCCAATAGTTGGTTGATATAACTGGCTATCACATTCAACATTCTAGATTCAGGTCGCTCCAGGAAGAAGAAACATCCCAGCATTTCTGGTTTTCGGGATCAAACCATGTAGCCTCTGGTAAACATACAAAAAGCTATTGAAAATGGCCATAGAAATAGTGAGTTTTCCCATTAAAAATGGTGATTTCCCATAGTTATGTTAGTCTACCAGAGGGTAGGCAACCCCTGTGATGCTGAAGAAGGCAAGTTTTTTTTTCTTGGCTTCACAGTGTGAGCCCATGAAAAATCTCACCATTGTTTTTTCAACTCAACTCCGATAATCTCCAATATTCCCATTAAAAAAAAGGACAACTTTCGCAGCAGTTAAAATCTTCAGATTCAACCATGGTCTATTTTGGGTTCACGTGGATCACGGAAAAACCATGAAAAACCTCAGATTCCCCCGAGTTCACCTGCGCGTTTAGGTGGAGGTCCTGGCTCATTGGGTAGGACACCTACGAGCAGGAGGAGACCTGGATCCATGGTGATCCATGGATAGGGTGGATGACCTGCAGGAGCTTTGATGACGTTGGAGATCTTTTTTGGGTACCCTGTGGTTATGACTAACATAGCTATAGCACTGAGGCTTCTAAGATCTATCCATTTTTAATGGGAACATCACCATTTGTAATGGGAAAATGACTATCATTGCTGGGGAAATTACCCTCTGGTTATGACATTCACAGTTCGCTATGGTTTTTCGATGGCCCTAATCGATTTATAGATGGTTTACCGTTTACTTAATAGCATGGGTGGATATTTTCCATGGCGAGCCCTGTTAAACATCCGAATGAGTTGGATGAGTTGGGGGAGAAACTTCATGAAATCAGCAGATTTGACCCATTGATGCCATCTCCATCAGCAGATTTTTCTGTGATCGTTGTTGGGTGAATGCTCTGAATGCTCTGATTTGTGGCAACCCAAAATTGGAAAACATCCTAAAATATGCTAAAATATAACTCAAAGTTGGACAAAGTGAGTCTCATCATGATCAAAAAGGGCCCATGACTTGGAAAATCCATGGAACCACATGATTTTCACAACCTCAAATCCATGATTTCTGATGGACAGGGGACGCGGATGCATTCAAAGAGGCTTGGGTGTTGGGTTGGTGTTTGGTGGATGTGTTTGGAGTGGGATACTTCATGCCACTACCAAGGTATTTGCCATGGGCTTCCATGGCAGGTCTCTTTCAGATCAAGAAGCACCTGGCCAAGATTGGCCAAGGGTGTCCCAACTTTGTTTCCAGGAATGTTTCCCAACCTCTACCTGTCATCCCTGCACAAGTTGACTTTAAAATTTGGCAGTGTGTCAAAACCTTGTACCCCTGGTGAACATCAAAATAGCTGGTAAATGGATGTTCATCCCACTAAAAATGGTATTAATAGGTATTGATCCATACCCATTTCGCCCCTGGTGGAAAGTCCTTCGATTTTTTGATGATGGGAGGTGCAATCCTTAACTCACTTCTGGCTTGGCCGATCAGTGGGCTTGAGACTCAGCTGTGTCAAAGTTCGATGCCGAAGGTTGATGGTTTTTTAACTGGTTAATGCTGTCTTTTCATAGAACTTGGATATACTGATATGGGTATGGATCAATACCTATTAATACCATTTTTAGTGGGATGAACATCCATTTACCAGCTATTTTGGGGTTCACCAGGGGCACAACGTTTTGACACACTGCCATCTACAAAGATCTACTTGAACCTGAAGATTTCACATCTCTACCTTCAATCGAACTGGTTGTGGATGGGCTGAAGCACTGCTTGCTGCAGTCGCTGCGACCAGTTCCAGTTCCGTAACTGCGATCCGTGGGATTTTCTGCACCTGCAGGATGACATCGGACCCAAAATCGGTGGGGAAGAAAACCACAGACCCCAACTTCAATTTGATGGGAAAACCATGAGTTTTGTGTAGGTTTTCCCTATCATTAAACCAATGAATATCATGAACATCATCCAAAATCGATGGGAAAACCACGAGTTTCCTGTAGGTGTTCCCTTCCATTAAACCATGTTAAACCATGTTAAACCATGTTAAACCATGTTAAACCAATGAATTTCCCCAGCTTTTTGGACAGGAATTGCTGCCACCAGTGAGTGGCTTTCCGCCATGGGGTTGGGACCACGCCGCATCTGAGAAAAGATGCTGGGCTGGGGGCCGTTGGCTGAGGCAACTGACAAAAAATTAAAAGATGCTGCATGGTGACATGTCCACACCTCTCATTTTCACCTACTGCTCCGATGTTCCGGCATTGGGTTGGCCAGCAGTTTCAGGATTGGGTTTTTCCTCAGCCCTTGCCCACAGACGTTGGGTATCAGCGGCACCATTTTTCTGTTGTTTTGGTGATCTTGAGCCATACAAAATCTATGGAAA